CCCTGCATCGAACCTGTTTCAGCGCATTTTAATTCCCAATAACACGGAGAAAAAGCTGATGAAGAAAAGAAAATGGATCGCAAGTTAAACTTTTTGAAAAATGTTTTATTTTCTACAATATTATTTGTGAACACGACCCGTCACGGATATTAAAATTGTTAAATTAAACAGTTCTACAGAAAAAAAAAGTTTCAATAGAAATATTTGCTTTTCGAAGATAATTTCCAGTGCAAAGAAACGATGTCAATAAATTGGGACAACAATGTGCGTTCAAAATAGCAGTGTAATTTTTTCAGTGCAAATAGGGGTGCAGCTGTTGCCTCCCCCTTTTCCTCCTCTTTTCCCTCTTGAGACTCATCTGTCAGGAGAGTAGATGGGGGGCGGTGGGAGGGCGGGGGAGAGGTGATCAGTGATCACTCGATAAGCACATGACCTGCAAAAAGAGCGCAAAAAATGCGAACAAGTTCTAACCGTTTATGGCCAATGGACTTGGATTTCCATCTGCCTTTGTTTATCTCGTTTAACTAGAGGAAGAGAGTTGGCAGCATCAGCCTTGATCACTCTCTCCCCCTCTCTTTTGCTCATGCTCTCTCTCTCACTCTCTGACCCGACACCCACTCATTTCTCTTTTTTTGCACGTGTGTCGAATCGCTCGAATTGCATTTTATCGCCTTTAATCAACAACTCTCTCTGTTTCACTCTTTCTTTCTCTCTCCGCTCCGGGTTCAAAGTACAAAAGTCGGCTCTCCACTGACGTCATGAGCTTCAGTTTCAATTACAGTTACAGTTTCGGTTTCGGCTGGCCATTAAACTGAGCAAATACAAAACACACAAAATACACAGCGATCTTTGATACATACATATAAACATGCATATACTTTTGTATAATAAACAGCGGAGAGCACACAACAGCACAGCAACAGAAAACAAAAAAAAAACAACAAGACAACAAAACAACACTCACTAGGCGAGTGCCAGTCCAAAGTCCAATTGGCATTTCGAAGACTCGGGTCCAAAGTCCAATGCAGTCGGGTTTTCTGCTCCCCAGCCAGTCATAGTCCCCCCCACGAAGAGCCCTCCCCCCTCGCGTTTACAATTGTTGTCTGTACCGAAAGAAGAGAGACCCCAGTCTCTTTTGGCTCTCCATTTACACTTTTCTTCGCGGCTCCACTTTGTTTACCTTTGCCGAGAGCTCTCCCTTAAGCTCGCTCTTAAGACTCTTAAGCAAAGGTGATGTATAAAAAACAGGTGTAGATTCAATTTACACGTGCTAATTTAAAAATGGTAAAAGAAAAAATGATTTAACAACTTTTTTTTTAATGAGATAATATTCAAAAATTACATTTAAATACCATATTATTTTTTTATAAGAAATTAAATTAAATTACTGGCAGATATTACGATTTCTAATAAAAGACCCCAAACTTACAAGTAATAAATAAATTCAATGAAATTACCACAGAAATGTAGTACAAATTAGCCTATAAATAGCCCCAATGAAATGTTCCCGTTAAATTTCTGAAGCTGAAAATAAAAAGAAATCACAAGAATCGTAATAAAAAGTAAAATAACAGCACGTGCAAATATTGTCGATGTTATTTTACTCGTTTTTTTCCTTTAACGACTTTACGAGCTATAGTAAAACCCCAAAGATGGTCAGCAAATAAGACATTATATTGTGCTCGCGATATTACGAAATGCATTAAGGGGTATAGTCGAGAAGGGTACTTTTGTCATTATTTTGTCAGTGGGTGGAGATTTGCGAATTTAATTCGGTTTTTTTTGTATTATTGTACGGGAATTACGAAAGTTTCGGTTATGTCAGATTTAGTGGAGCTTGAGTTCCCGGCTTATTTGTTGCTGCCTGCTATTGTTGCTGTTGCTGTTGCTGAAAATAAGTTCACGTTTCGCATTTAGCAGGCAGCGGCGATTCGCTTTCGTGTTTTATTTAATTTTAGCGAAATCCACAAAAGTGGACTTTGCACTTGACAGCGGCGACGCCAGCGACGATTTTCTGTATTTTTGTTTTTTGTTATTTTATTTCTGCGGTGAATGAATGTTCATATGCTCGGCCGTGTATTTTTTGTTTTTGTTCCGCCTGTTGCCACGTTTTGCTCTCCAATCCGAAATAAATCGAAAAAAAGTCTAGAGAATTATTTCTATGAGCACAACTTGTTGGAATGAATGTGTTGCTTAATTGGTATAAAATGCTTAAATTATTTAGCTTGGCATTTGAAGTTTGTGGTGAGCGCGGAGAACGGGTTAGAAATATTGTTTTAAAATTATCAAGAACATTGAGTGTCCAGATTGGTTGATATTTCGCTTCAGAAAACCCCCTAATTAGCTCTAAAAACCGTTTAACTGAACATTTGGTTTCTAAAGTAGGGAAAAATTATTTTTTTAAATATTTAGATAGATATTTTCCCTTTGTTTTCTTAATAAAAATATAATTTTGCATAAACAAAAAACGGGTTAGAGCACATTTAACAATGAGCTTTCTTGTTTCATAAATTATCAAATATTTTTAAGTCGCATACCTATAAATTTTATTTGTTTATATATTGCGCACTTTTGTTTAGAAACTTTATGCGTTCGTTGACCCTGAAATGTTTAAATATTTTCAAAATACGTTTCTACGTTTTGAGTTTACTTCATTGCGACATGTAATTATTTCAGCATAAATGGCATTGGGTTACGACAGATTTATGCGCCATCTGCCATTTAATTTCATTCGATTTTATTTCCCATTTCCATCTGCTCGTTGATTCCCTAAATTCTGTTAAACATTCCGCTGGCGGCAAATGCGTAGTATGAGATTTCAGCTATTACGCTGGGAAAAGCTCTCGAGAGGCTTCATTAGATTCGCTCTTCGGCTGTCAACGGCAACCCACGACATTTCCACATCTCAAGACCCCGCTTTCAATACCACATCCCATCCCCCATCTTTGGGGACTTTGAAGGGCCAAAGCTTCCGTCCCCAAAGCTGAACATCAGATTCTCTGTTGGCTGTCTAACAACCGTTACTAAGCTGCCACGCCCCATCGCCGCTGCCGCCCCCTTCGGACTCGAGTGGCATGTAAATTGATCTGCGTACTTGATTAATTAATTGCGTTCGACTCGAAGCGGTTCGAAAACTGCAAACCGCAACTGCCGCAACAGCCAGCATCTGTTGTCTTAATTAGTCCAACGTGCCATTCGAGTGGATTCGTTTTGGGAATCCAGTTTCAATTGGGTGTCCTTTGTTCAAGGTGAAAGTGCGTGGGCCTTGGCTGAGGTTTTGCAGGAATTTCAGAAATGTATGCAATTTATACAGAAATATGTAATTTTGGGTTATTTCCTTACCAGAAAATAAATGAGTAGGCACATTAATTGGTATTTTTCCAGGGAAATATGGAAAACTTTTTGAAGCAAAAATTACATTAAACAAAAATTGTATTATTTATATGTCAACTATCATCAGGATCTAAAAAGTTAACATCAAATCTTAATAAATTTATTCCAGCGGTTTCAAAGCAATATTATTAACACCTAAAAGCATGCAATAAAATGCGTAAATCACCTTAAAATCAAAAATATGTAAAGCCATTTAAATCCTGGTTCAACACATAAAAATAACATCTTAGTTATCATTTTCCATTAATAGACCCTAAGCCATGTGAAACAGAAACGGAAACTAGAACAAATTGTCTCCAATTTCACTTTAATGGCTAATAATTGCCCTCAAAAATTTAAACACCACCCAGCCCGTCATCTATTACATTTTTGCCTGGGTTCTTTGCGGTTTCGCCTAATTGAAAACGGTGAAAAAAATGTGCGAAGGCGTTGATGCGTGAACAACTTGTTGCCTTGCCAGCCCAGACACTCGGAAATACGTATATCTCATTATGCAAAGTGCTGCTGAAGGGGAAGGTTTACAGGGGTATATATGTGTATAAACATATCCGTGGGGGAATGGGAGTATTTAAAGGTGGGCCCCGAAGGCTCAACGTTCAAACAAATACGAAGCTTGCCTTGTTTTTTGTTTTGACGTTTGGAAAATTCATTTTGGCCGCAGCAGCCAATGCAACTTGCCTTTGGGGGATTGCCTGGGAAAGTGTGGTGTTTGCCTTGTTAAAGCCAACCGACAGACAGACAGACAAGCAGACAAGCATCATCATCAGCAGCATTATGAACCACATAAGGATGTTGTTTTGCCAAGAGATGCTGCTGCTGCTGCTGCTGGTAGCATTTGAACTCGTTCCGTTTGAAATGATGACACGCTCGTTGCATAAGCAAATATTTCTGAAAACCACAGCATCGCTACACCCAGTGCCACCCACTTTTCCTTCGCTTTTCACTCGCATTTCCCAATCCATCCGCTTGCCAGTGGCAGTAGTAGTTGTTGCTGCTGCTGCTGCGGATGTTGCTGCTACTGCTGCTGCGGATGTTGCCGCTGTCATGGCAAAATGTTGGTAGATAGCCATGCCACACAGGACATGCTTTTGGCCGCCTTCTCTGATGGCGCAGGCCGCATGTCGCTGACAGGCTCTGTCAAGCTGAATTGATAAGTCGCTGATCCAGAATAGATTGAAAAACATTTAGATTAAACTTTAATTCGCAGCTGGGAGACAAAAGAATACCATCTAACCGAGAGTTTTAAACTGGGCTTTTACAAAAATATCTAGATTTGTAAAACAACTATTAAATGTGTCTAAAAGTAGGCTACAATTCATTACAAAATTCAAGACATTTTTTAAATATTGTAACATACTTTTACACACCTTTATTGGTGATTTTAAAACTCTGGAGATTGTTTCGTAATTTGAGGAAAGATAAATGAAATTTAAAGTATACTTTTAAATTTAAAAGTAGTCTACAACCAATAAGTAGTTAATTTTTAAAATATTGTAACTTATTAGGTATTTTAACCGCTGGTTATATTTGTGAAATGCAAATTTCCATATATTTTCTGAAAACCCAAGGAAATCCAAACTAAATCCCTGCCATCTCCTCCATTCCAGGTCTGTCGTGCATTGAACATCATTTGCGAAATGGAGTACTTCGGCCTGGAGCACTGGACGCCCAACCAGAAGGAGTCGCAGACGCGCCAGTGGATCAACCTGCGCAACCGGCTGTCCGGCGACAGTGGAAGCAGTGGCAGTGGCATCCAGTTAATGCTGGCCCTGCGGGTCAAGTTCTGGGTGCCGGTGCACTACATCCTCCAGGAGAGTGTGAGGAATCTGTTTTACATGCAGGCGAGAAGGGATCTGCTGGAGGGTCGACTAACTGCTACCGATTGGAGTGGAGCGGCCAAGTTGGCGGCGCTCCTCTGCCAGGCGGATGGATTGCGCTTCAATGAGGCGTCCCTAAGGGCCGAATGTCCCATGAGGATGAGGCGGGAGCTGGCCCAGCAGCAGCAGCAGCAACAGCAGCAGGCGCAACAGCATCGCCTGGAGCAGCAGCGCAAGGAGAAGGAGCATGTCCTCAGCTTCAAGAAGCGTCGCCTGTCCAAGCAAAAGTCCATGGAGCACATCGAGATTTGCACTCTGCCAACAACAACGGCCAATACCTCCAATACCAGTTGCAGTCTCCAGCCCTCGCCATCCGCATCCGCCTCCGCATCCGCCTCCACATCCGCCTGCTCGCAAACCCACTCGAACAGCAGCTCCAGCAGTCCGAGCAATAGCAGCAGTCAAACGGGCCTGGACGAGCGATTGGCCAGCAATCCGCTGCGGATGTACGAGGAGTACCTGATTCAACCGAGTTCCGAGGGCGAGCCACCGGCGGATTACCTGCGCCAAATCGCCATGGAGCACGGCAAGCTGGCCAAGCTGCAGATGAGCCCCAAGTCGGCAAAGTACTGGCTGCTCGAGTCCATACAGAATCTCGAAGGATACGGCGAGGAGCTGTTCAGCGGAGTGACCACCAATGAGAGTGCCACGCGTTGCGATATCGCGGTGGGCGCCCATGGCATCACCGTCTGCCGGGGGGGTGAGAAACAAAGGTGAGTTTTAGGTTCTGAAGAATTCGCATACCTAACTCTGAATTTCCATAAATCAATGTGGTTAAGATATAGGGCATTTTTAGCATTGCTAAACATTATTTTCTGTTTACCCCGATGCTGGATTATTGCTTTTAATTTATTCTTTATTTGTTTTTCGTAAGAACCAAAATGAATTCATTAAACAAAAGTCAAGGTGAAGCCTCAAAAACAATTTCAAGATAAAGACAAAAGTTGCCCAAAACGAAAACAACATTCTTATAAGTAGGTTGTGGTGCATTAACCTGAATAATTAAATGGACTTTTTATCGCCATTTTACGAAATGATTTCGGCTTCAAGTTTAGGGAGCGCAAAATTGCTGTCAAAGTTGGAGATTTTAATAGAACCCACTTTCTGCGTTATAAACCTTAATGATGAGTCTTAATGATGGGTTTAAAGATGACAATAAACACAGTTACAATCGGATAATAAAGATGTTACTTTTTATCGAGAGTTATTATTTAGAAGTTAGAAATCATTTAAAAAAGGTGCGTTTGAAAAAGTGTTTTCGAAACTCACGATTATTATTTCAAAATTACCACAAGAATCATTACAGGTTTGAAAGCGCTTTTGAAGGCTATTGTATAGAAACCTTTTCTATTTTTCACAGCATACTTTTAGGCAGTTTGTAAAGTGTTTTCAAAACATAAAAATTTATTTTTAGAGTTTGATTAGCTTCGAGTTTTAGAGCGTTGTTAATAGATTAATTTCAAAACTAATCCATTTCTTTTCTTTATTATTTAGCATCCCCTTTGGCGCCATTGCTGCGGCCAAGTCGCTGCGTCGCACTTTCAAGCTGGAATACGTGGACGATCACAACGATCGGAAGGAGCTGGAGATCAAGTTGCCCAAACAGCCGATCGCGGCGGGACTCTACCGCTCCATAACCGAGCGCCACGCCTTCTACGTGTGCGACAAGGTGCGCGGCGTGGTGACCAACCAGTTCACCCGGGATCTCAAGGGAACCATTGCCTCGATGTTCATGGAGAACACGGAGCTGGGCAAGCGCTACGTCTTCGATATCCAGCACACCTGTCGCGAGGTTCACGACCAGGCGAGGCGGACGCTCCACGAGCGGGGCGGCGATCTGATGGCCGAGGGCTCGGCCGACGGATGCTCTGCTGCCGCTGGAGGATTGGGCGCCGTTGCCGGAGCCGGCGGCGATCCCATGGATGCCGTGGCCGGGGTCAGCGGAATGGCGATGGCACTCGCGACTGGTGCCGGCGGCTCCATGGCCGGCAAGATAGATTTGGCCATTCGCGAGAAGGAGGCGCGTGAGGCGGCGATTGAGCGTTGCGTGGATACGCGCATCTCGGAGGCCATGCAGTGCAAGATCTGCATGGACCGCGCCATCAACACAGTGTTCAATCCGTGCTGTCACGTCATCGCCTGTGCGCAGTGCGCTGCAAGGTGAGTTGTCCTTACAAAGCAATTACTAAAATTAGAATCGATCTTATAATCTGAAAAGTTAACCAAGATCAATAAATACTCAAATTCATAAATTCAAGACTACTTCCTTCTCAAAAACAAAATCAAGACTACTTTTATCTCAATTTTAAAGCACTTGCGTCTTCATTTCAAGAACTTTTTTTCTCGAATAAGTAAGATGACACCTTTTTAAAATGAGAATATTAAATCCCGATTGGTTTTCTGTCCATTAAAGTAAATAAAGAATATCTTTACGAGAAATTTAAAATCAAGACTACTTAAATCTCAATTTAAAGCACTTTTGAATTGATTTCAAGAACGTTCGCTCTCACAAAATGGAAACATTTGATTTTTAAATTTTAATGAAAAATTGTTTTGCTTTTCTTATTTTAAAGGCGATTTTCTCTTTTCTTCGTTGCCTCTGATTTTTGTACCCTTATTGACTTTTACCATCTTCTTACTTGCAGATGCAGCAACTGCCCCAACTGCCGGGTGAAGATAACCAGCGTGGTCAAAATCTATCTGCCGCCGGAGCTGCGCACCAGCCAAACCGGCAGCGTCGCCACAACCACCAGCGGCAGCAGCATCTGCGATGGCCCCGTGGAGGAGCAGCTGCAGCATCAGCTGGACGAGATCTCAGTGGCACAACCCACAGCCCAGGAGGCGGCAGCAGGAGCAGGAGCAGGAGCCACAGGACCTGGCGGACAGCCAAAGGTCACGACGGCCGCCTAGAATTGGTTGTGCTCGCTGCTGTTCCGGCTGATGGAATGGGTGTGCGTGCCGATTGTCTGAGAACCAAAATGATCCACTAATCTTCTATGACCACAACCAAATGGGGAACAAAACAAAGTTAAAGAAAACAAAAAAGAACAACCAACTAGGAAACGTGCAACATGCAAATGCAACATGCAAGGGGGAATTTGTGACCCGCGAGTATGGGTTTGAAATGGATTCAAAGAAAAAACACGGAGTAGTCAGTCTGTCAACAATCTTAGCTCTATCTTTACTCAAGTATTTTACCGACATAAGCAACTGAAACTTTAACTGTAACTGTAACTCTAACTCTAACTATAGATCCTAGCCATATACACGATATATTTACTATTTATAGATGTACGGACTTCGAGAAAGTGCTATTTAAACTCGTCTAAGACTTCACTGCATAGCCTATGCCTAGAATCTATAACTGCGGATTGTTTCATATTCATATACAACACTGTATACACATAGATATATTTACGATCGTTATAGATCAGCGATACCTTATACGATATAGCCCTTGAATGTACAACAAAGTTACTTACTAAACGTTAGCAATTTTACCAACTACACTCGAGATGTATTTATTAACGCCTAAACTCTTTAGTATTCCACCCTAACCCAAGAAACCCCCAAATTCTCATATGGATACATATATAATATAAAGCATATATATTAGCGTGTGTATATGGGACAAGCGTACAATAATCGCAAACCCAAGGAGCAAAGTAGTACTAAGTACCTGCAAAACAAACAGAAACGGAAACAGAACACGAAACACGAAAAGTATCTCTGCTGCGGATATTACATAGTCAATAATAAATGTTAACAATGTTATACTATATATACAGATATATATATACATGTAAAAGAAAAAACCAATGAAAAAACCTTAAATGTACCCTGTTATCCGTTGTTTTTATTATTTGGGAAGTGAAAACTTCTTTCATTGCCATCTTGTGTTGAAAGCTTTAAGTGGAATATTTCGTTTCGATTTTCTTCGTTTTCTTCTGGACTCTACTACGAATTCTCTTATCATTTTCCTATTATTTTTGAATCTAGAATCTTTTCTGCTCTTACTTTTGACCTATTGTCGTCCAAAAATGAATTCGAAATAAAAGTTGTTTATCGAAAAATGTCATCAAGCTCCTATCATTTGAAATCATCTAAGCCTCATTGTCTTTTCCTTTCATTTTCTTGTTTATGAGCGCCTTGGCATCTTTCCCTGGCGGAAAAGAGATGTAAGATTACTAGAAAGTCTAAGAAATTAGTAGGATCCACCTACAAACATGCTTGATAAGGATGCGCAGTATCTTTAAAGTTTCTAGACTTGGATTTGGCTTGACTTCCTCGACAGGGTTCTGTGAACTGGACTCAACACCACTTTTTGCTTTTGGCTGTTCCACTGAAAATTCGAAAAAAGGTGGCCAAATCGAGAGTTTTGGTTCAATTTTCCGCATAAATTCGTTTTCCACATCAATCTTTAGACGTCTTAAATATTGCGGAATCTTATGAAGACGACCTAGAATTGGATGTGTAACATTTGGCAGGAAATCTTCTTTCCTTATATCAACAGTATTATTAGGAGCAAAATCTTCTAGATGATCTTTCGATACTGGTGCTCCGTTAACTGCTGGAAGTATATTATGAAAACCACTCTTACTTTTAACCGAAAACTTACCTAGGAACAGATAAAAGATCATAATAAAAATTGCTATTGAGTTCATTTTAGTGATGTATTAATTTCGGATTTTTTTCAGATTGAAGTATAACGCTTGCTTGAACTGCTGGGGAATTTACGTTTTGAAAAAAAATTCCCAACTGAGCATATGAAGGAATAAATTCTTTTTAAACTCGAGCACCTCGAATGAGGAACAACAATTTTTCTTCGGGTAAACTAAGTTGGCTATGATATGGACCATCTTTAATAGTTGACTTTATTTTATAGGATGAAGAAGACTTTCAAAACCGCGAAAGTTAATTGCAGAAATTTAACATTTATACTTCTTGGCCAAAAAAAAATTTGAGGGAAATTTTTCTTAATTCCCCTAGAACGTTGTACGTTGTTCCTTCAAGCCGTTCTCGAGATATACTAATTTGAAGTTTGAGAATATTCTTAAAATGCAAACCGCCCTTAACAGGACACAAAAAAAATTCAAAAAAAATTACAGAGCTAAAAGGAAATTGATTTTTTTTATATGCGCAGTTGAGAAATTCTTACCCAGCACTCCTGTTAAGTAGTGTTGTGCCAATAAAGCACATATGGCTAACCACAAAAAGGATTTAAAGGGAAAGTACACAAAAAAAAATGTTAATTTTAAAAATAGTAAGTGAATTGCAGGGGTTCATTATCAAAGTTCAATGTGCAAATTACTTGCAATCAAGTTTTGGGGTTAATCAGATTATATTTCTTTTATTTTAAATTTTATATGATTTCCTAAAGATTTTGGCTCAGTGTGAAAGGGCTTTTATAACCGCAAAGACGACGAACTAATGCGTAAGGGTCTTTGAAATACACAGAGAGAAATTACTGAATCTTCTGACAGGTAGTATTCTAAAGAAAATAAAGCTTTTGCTTCTGATTATTTAAGTGTATGCCCGTATTTTTGGAATGAATACATTAAAGGAAAAGTTGCGGTTTTTGTCAATTTTCCAGACTATATAAGCCATCAAGGTTGGCTATTTGGCAGTCAAATCGCCGGGATCAAAATGAGGGTTAAGTTCGTTAAGAAGATACTGACTAGAAAGTTTGGAACCGTCGCGAAGCCGGCTAAAGTTTTACCCGTCGGCGTCGAGGACTTTTTAAGGCTGGCCACGTTTTACTTTAACTCCATGGGTGTCGATCCCTACGAATCGGAAAGGAAACCCAGCATCGGATTTCAGTTGTACCTTGTGTTTCACACAATCAACTTGTTCTTTGTGTGGTTTTCAATGATGGTGTTTGTTGTTGAATCCATAGGACCCAATGCGGATTTTATCAAGCTTTCCACGGTGGTGGGCTATATCACTTTCGGCAATGTCGGCGTCCTGAAAATAATATTTGTTCATTTGCAAAAGGGAAAGCTGAGCAGCCTGGTGCGGCATATGAAGTTGCTATTTCCACCGCCCATCGAAAAGGAGCGTGAACAGTATGCTCTGCGACATTATCTAAAGTTTTGCAACCAGATCTCAAGGGGTTTTGCGTCCCTTCTGATGGCTACGGTTACTATCAACAGCATGTCCTCACTGGTGCACTACATAATCCAAAGTTGGTGGCTTAAGACGCCGAATGCCGAGTTAACCTTGCCCTATGTACCATGGGCCCCTTGGAATTGGCGCGGAACCTGGAGATTCTGGCCGACTTATTTGCTTCAGTCCATTGGAAATTACACTTGCACCTGCGGCTATATATCCGCCGATCTTATGATGTTCGCTGCCGTCATCCAGGTTGTCATGCATTTCGATCGATTGGCCAGGACTCTCAGGGAATTCGATGTTCTAAAGCGGAACCATAGCAATTGGAAGGAGTTGAGATCTCTGATCGCTTACCACAATCAAGTACTGGAGTAGGTTTGAGTTTAATAAATATATATACATATATATATATATATTTAATCCTGATTAATAAAAGCTTTTAGATTCACAAACGTCATGAACGGTACCTTTGGAGTTCCATTGCTGTTAAACTTCATCAACTCCTCGCTGGTCGTTTGCAATGTGGGTTTTCAGATGACCATAGGCATTAGTTCGGAGTATATCGGAAGGCAGGCGTTTAACCTAGCCACGGCTCTTGTGGAGATCTACCTCATCTGCCACTTGAGCCAGATGCTGATAAATGCTGTATGTTGAGTACCTTCTATACTGATTTCAAATAGACTGAAAAGATATTTGCAGAGTAACAATGTTAGCTTTGCTGTCTACGAAATGAATTGGTTGCAGTCCGACGCTCGATTCCGGAAAATGTTACTTTTTATGCCTATGCGGGCCGAAAAGCCCGCCTGCCTGAAGGCCACTGTATTCCTAGACGTATCAATGGCGACCATGACCACCGTGAGTTTCCTCCATTTTCCGTTTCTATAACACTAGTTTACAATTTTAAATTTTTTTTCGAGGTAAACGCAGAGACCAATTTTTATACCCTTGCAGAGGGTATTATAATTTTGGTCAGAAGTTTGTAACGAGACGTTTCCGACCCCATAAAGTATATATATTCTTGATCAGGATCAATAGGGGAGTCGATATAGCCATGTCCGTCTGTCCGTCTGTATGTCTGTTTCAATACCGTTTGCGAGCTCAGTTTAAAAGCTAGCGCCTTGAAACTTTCACAGTCGTCCTAAAACATGTGTACGCAGATCAAGTTTGAAAGCCGACCCGATCGTTTCCGTCCTCGTTTCAATTATAAAATATTTTGTTGTTTATTAATTCATGTTGCTAGTCTAGTCAAGTTTTAATTCGTAAAATCTGCAAGGGTATTAAAACTTCGGCTTGCCGAAGTTAGCTTCCGTCCTCGTTTTTATTAGTTTCTAGTTGCTTACCACGCTGAACAAATTAAAAAAAAATTCCAAAGAACCGTTCTAAAGATCACCAGCAACTCAAAAACTAATCAAAAAAATTGGTCTTAGGATTTACCTTTTTTTGCTGTAAACTACTGTAATATCTCGGCCTGAAGAACTGGTGAGATGGTTCTGAAGCCGCCTAGCTGGGGCCACCGAGCGGGTCGCAGGTTGCGGATAGCGAACGACCTCTAGTTTCTGGAGGTTAACTGTGAATAAGCTGGTGGTGGAAGTAAAACCATGGAATCGTGGACGGAAGCCCCAGCAAATAATCAGTCCCGGACAACCAGCGGGTATTCTGCATCGGAGCAGTACCGACGATGCGATTTGTTCAGCCACATCTAAATAATTGCTCTACACAAACCCTATACCCTACACACTACCTACCCCCTCCCTCTCCCACACAACATCTCACTCCGGGCCGGACTACGGTGTAATTCGGACCGTGCCAAGAGTCAACCTGGCTGGGGGCCCGGATCAAAAACTAGCCCAGTCTTGAACGGTGAGCTCAGGGATATGGCGACCCCCTGTTCTAACTATCGCCTTACCCGGGCATCGCGGATCTCTGCCCGGGTGGACCTTTCCCCTTCTCCGCAACTCGTGGGATTTATTATGGACAAATCAACAAATAACAAAGAAAAACAAGAGACGGGAACTCTCAAAAAACCCACAGAAACGCCGAGCACTGGCTCCAACACTCACACCAGCACGGTCCAGAAAGGGCCGCATCCCAAATTGGGGATGACGGGTGGCAGAAAGCCGGCTGCCGATACGTCCGCCACAGACATAGAGAAAACGACTGATGCTGCAAGGCTCAGGAAAATACTCTCCAAGACAGCCGCGCCCTTAGGCTATCTCCAGAAAGCAGATGGATCCTGGTCAGACTCAAGCGACGAGTCCTTAGACCTACTTCTAGATGCTCACTTCCCAGGTAGCCAAAATATAGGCCAACCCCCAGAAAGAATTGGCGGGGAAGAGATCAATCTAGATCTCCTCATATCAGACCGCAACATTAAATGGGCCATTCAGAGCTTCAAACCATACAAATCACCGGGACCAGACGGAATAACACCGGCACATATCCAACAAGCTGGCCAGCTAGCTATAAATTGGCTTAGTAAAATCTTCCACACCATTCTGGCAGTAGGAGAACTACCAACAGCATGGCGAGAAACGAAAGTGGTCTTCATTCCCAAGGCAGGGAAAGCCACCCACACCACAGCAAAAGATTTCAGGCCAATAAGCCTGACATCATTCCTGTTAAAGAGTTTTGAAAGACTGATTAGCCTACACTTGAGAGCCACCATCGACCCGACACAAATGTCAGAGGCGCAACATGCCTACACCAAAGGTAAGTCAACCGAATCGGCGTTACACGTCGTGGTAAGCAGCATTGAGAAATCACTCAATAATAAGGAATACACACTGATCGCCTTCCTAGATATAGAGGGAGCTTTCAACAACGTGCTTCCCACAGCAATAACAGACTCCCTCACAGAACTAGGGGTGGAGGCCCAACTGGTGAGGCTGATCCATAAACTGCTGATAAGCAGAATGGTTACGGCCGCTCTAGGGACCTCAACCCAGACTAGACTAGTGAACAGAGGCACCCCGCAAGGAGGTGTACTATCGCCCCTCCTGTGGAATATCACAGTAAATAAACTACTGCGAATTCTAGAAGGAGGGGGCTGCAAAGTAGTAGCATACGCGGATGATGTCGCTATCATCTTTAATGGTAAGTATCCACAAACACTCTGCGATCTCATGACCGCAAAGCTAAAAATATTATCAGACTGGACGATAAAAAACGGACTCGGGGTAAATCCCTCAAAAACGGAACTTGTCCTATTTACGAATAAGTACAAGATCCCTCCACTCAACCCACCCATACTAAACAACTGCAATCTCTCTTTTAGCGAACACGCAAGATACCTGGGGTTGGTATTAGAAAAGCGGCTCAATTGGGGCCTAAACAACCAAGAGAGAATCAAAAAAGCAACCATTGCACTTTACTCCTGTAAAAAGGCAATTGGGCTAAGGTGGGGCATGTCCCCTAAAATTGTAAACTGGATCTACTCAGCGGTGGTAAAGCCAATCCTTCTATACGGGGTGGCTCTATGGTGGACCGCTCTACAAAAACAATGCATCTTAACTCCCCTAAACAAAGTACAGCGAATGGCGGCTTTGTGTATCAGTGGAGCCCTTCGAACTACCCCAAACGAAGCGCTGAATGCGATCTTGAACCTCCAGAGCCTGGACTTAGCAGGCATGGAAAGGGCCAAATCGGCAGCTATTCGACTGAGGGATACAGGGCAATGGAAAGCCCAGCTCTACGGTCACGCTAAAATTCTTCAGCATGACAAATCGATACCGTCAAGAACGGATCTATGTAAAACCCGTGAATATAGTCACACACCCTTCGAGGCTCTGATCCCAGGTAGGGAAGAATGGGATCGGGGCCGACCGGGCACAATAGACGCTATCTGCTTATATACAGACGGCTCCAAACTAGACGGACACGTCGGCGGAGGCATATACTCCGAAGAACTAGAGATCAGGCAGTCTTTCAGACTCCCTGACCACTGCAGCGTCTTCCAAGCGGAAGTGCATGCTATAAAAGAAGCACTCGTCTGTATAAGGGACATAAACACCCAAGACAGACACATAAACATATATAGTGATAGTCAGGCGGCTATTAAATCAATCTATTCGACAAGCACCAACTCCCGAACAATAGCAGACTGCCGCATATCTCTCCACGAGATAGCTAGTCAGTCTACTATAAGCCTAATATGGGTCCCGGGTCACCGGGACATCGTAGGCAACTGCATAGCGGACGAGTTAGCCAGGCAAGGCACCATCATGCCTCTCCTTCCAGAAAAGGAGAGTGTCGGTATGCCCATGGCAACTTGCAAGCTAAATATCAAAAACTACTTCATCAAACTAGCCAACACTAGGTGGCAAAATGCACCGCAGTGTCGTATCACCCACCAGACCTGGCCTGGGATAAACAGTAAAAAAACATCGGAATTACTCAAATTTAGTCGCACAGAGTGCGGTATGCTAGTTCGAGTCCTTACAGGCCACTGGCTAGTCGGCACACACGCCGGCAGGCTAAAAGCCCCGTACAATGATTTCTGCAGAAGCTGCAGAGACGAGGAAGAGGAAGAAACGGTGGAGCATCTCCTATGTTTCTGCCCAGCCCTATGCAGACTAAGGCTGAAACACTTAGGAAAACCCTTCATTAGCGATCTAACCGAAATATCGGAGATCAACCTTAAAAGTATAAACTCTTTCGTTAAATCTTCCGGGTGGAAGACATGCTAAGTATCCAAATTTTCTAGGACGAGAGGAAAAATAAAAATAGACAGGGGACCCCAAATAAGGGAAAGAGATCACACGGTACCACAATGGACCCACAGAGGTCTAAGTGTGTCAGACGTTAGTCTGGCAGCCGTTTCTAACCTAACCTAACCTAACCTACTGTAATATATTTGTAATTTTATACAATTGCAGTTCTTGCGAGTGTCCTACAAGTTTTTCTGCGCTATTCGAATGATGTATAAGTAGACGGAATTTAGAGAGAACATAAAAACAACTACTGAAACAAATAAACATAAACGACAGCATTCACACAAACAAATCGTAAACATGTAATAAATGTACTCGTTGGAAATAAAAATAGGATTTCCTTAAATTAGGGAAAACAATTAGATATCTCGGAAGTCATGTATAGGAACAACAATTTTTCTTCTGGTAAATTAAGTTACGTATGAGATGGACAATCTTGGATAGTTGAGTTTATTTTATAGGAAAACTTCCAAAACCGCGAAAGGAATTTGCAAATATTTAAAATTTATACTTCTTGGTCAACAATAAATTTATGATATTTGTTCTTTATTCCCCTAGTACACATTTAAAAACGTTAAAAGTTATACGTTGTTTTTCCGTTTCCGTGATATACTAATTTGAAGAATTTGAACTGACCAACGATCCATATCTATTTTTTTTGGGTGTAGGAGGTACTCAAGATTGAAGAACATCTATTTTTCCATATACGCAGTTGAGAAATTCATACTTGTTTTCGAAAATATATCTGATAGATCTGAGTGAAGTAATTTTCGAATGTATTCCATCATGGTTATTTTGTCTTCAGTTTTGGTAATTTTGATTAAGAAAAGTATTTTTATTAACAAAAAAAAGACGCTTATATCTCAATTAAAAACTGTGCTAATGTTCAAAGTACTTTTGATGGCTATTCAAAAATCTTAGCTTTGGTTTTCAGACTTTTTAAAAGTTGGCGCCAAAAAACACCACAAACGCGTTAGCACCTAACTCAATTTGAGCAGCCAATGAGCAACAGCTGATGTTCTTTTTCCTACCGCGACATTCGCCCGGTGAAATCCAACGGTGTGGCCACTCCCTGACTTTTTTTAAACATCAAAAACATCGATATCTGCGAACATTTTCAGGTAAAATAAACCTCTTTGACGACGAATATTAAAAATTTGTTCTACTTTGGAATAAACAAGAATTTTATTTTGCATCCTTACTCAAATTCAAATCAGTTCAACTTTTGCGCCAAAAAACCTAAACAAAACAGGCCCACAGGGTGCGCCATATTTGCGCAAAAAAAACTCACCCACAGGGTGATTCGTCTATTAGAGCCGACTCCGCGACGGTCATACTGCTGCTGGTCGCTCTTCTTCTTGCCACAGCTGCAATTATATATCGCTGTTCCGTCGTCTCCGCCGATCCACCTCCGCGCTAAAACTCACCTGAAAAGCTCAACAACGCCCCGCGAATAATCCGTAAATATTGCAATTGCAAGGTGTGTGACAAATTACGACCAAATAAGAGGGTTTTCGGCCAAAAACAAAGGGAAACACGCACACAGACGCAGGCGGGCAGCGGCAGAGCAGAGACGGCGGCAGCGGCAGCAGCAACAAGCAACAAAAGCAAAAGGCAAACAATTGGATAAGCGCTATTAAGGTGTTAAAACCGCTGGTAACTTAGCAGTCCAAGAGTTCAGCTTGAAAAGCTAACGGTTCCAAGGTCGCAGCGCTGAAAAAAGCAAAAAAAAACAATAAAAAATCAGCCTTGTTGTTGTTTTTGCTGCTGCAACTGTTGCAGCGCCCATGTGTGTGTGAGTGCGTTTGTGATCGCGATCTTTCATCTCTGTCGCACTCATTTCGAATGGTCGCCGGTGAAATGGTGTCGCCTTTCGCTGTCGACGTCACCGTCTCGGTCGGCGTCGCTGCCTACGTCGGAGCAGAGACCACCGCTGTGGCCATGAAACGAAATTTGTTGTTCTCAATTCTGTAAAAATATTTACAATGTGAACAATATAAATACATACACTGGTAGAAAGCGAAATTAAAATTCGTAAATTAATACCAAAACCAATAACGCTAAAAACACCTGAGTTAACAAGTTTAATACCCAATCAATCAACTAATCAAGTTGTGATCTGATCTTTAAAATCTTAAAGTTGAAGTACATAACGTTCGAGATTCTGAGGAGTGTCCACTTAACGATATTTGTATCTCAGAAATATGTAAAAATATTTAGAATCAAACCTGGCAAATAATACAATTTATACAAATGTACAAGTGTATATGTATAATTTAAAAACTGTATACAATAAAAACCAAAGCGCCTCAAAATCGTGAAATTACAAAATTAATATAAAATAACTATAACGACAACTAGAAACACAAGAACAACAGATAAAACATTTTAAGATATACAATTAACAAATATTATGGCAGTTTCAAAATAATTTTAGCATTCTAGAAGTTACTTTAAAAAAATATATGACTAAATTCCTTCTCAATTTTCCAGCTCACCAAAACATAAAAAAACACAACATCAAATAAACCGGAAACAGCTTAAATGATTCAAAATTCTATGATTACAAAATAAAAATTTGTTTGAAGAACAAAACCAACCAAATTGCTCAATTCCGTATTTGAAAATCCATCAGTGCTCTTAATAGCTTTCGAAGCAAGTGAAGATATTTAAATAAAGAGTAATAACAAAAAGGAAGAAAACAAAGAAACCCCAAAGAAAAGTCTAGAAAAGTGCCTGAAACCAAATGTGTTTGCCCTGAAGTTAAATCCCTTAAAATCCCCTTCGCCGGCTTTAATTCCCCCAAAGCCCCTATTTCACCTGTTCCCACCTTTAATCGACACAATAATTCCTTAACAAAAACAAGCACATGAGTTGGATTAATAGGAGTCAACTGGAATAGGCCGAAGCACCCCGGAGCACAGGTCAGTATCGGAACAATCAGGCCATATTAACTGCCATCAATCAGTTAAAATATTAAAATACCGTTTGCTCAATTGGATGGTTCGCCTTGAATCGGTTGAAACTGGTTAACGGTTACCGGTTCGGTTCGCAAGCCGGCAAAAGACAAATTGAAAATTCAATTAATTTAAATCAATTCCAACTTGACAGTTCGGTTCCATTCGGTTTCAATCACATATGTCCGCCTCGTACCTAACTATTTCATAAAAATGCCATTAAAGATTGCATAAGCTAAGTATATCTAACTGAAGATTAAACCGTTTATATCAGCGTAATAGCTATTTGTGTTACGGGTTCGGGAAAATAAAACGGTTTTTTATGGTTGGAAATTTGCTAAAAGCGATAGTAGATGTACTACGCGAAATAAGTCATGGATTCAGGTGGACAAATTTTCTTATTAAAATATTGATTTCTAATTACATACAATTTGTATCGTAAAGTATCAATAGAAGTTTGAGCTTACAAGATTTAATGGTTTTTTTTATTTGTTGCCTACCCAAAAGGCGTTTACTTAAATTTAAATCTGTTTGCGATTTGAAATCGGTATCGAAGTCTATAAATTATTTTATTTCTAAAATCAAATGTAATCTGAGAGCAATGTACTATTAAATTTCTCAAATATTATTTTACCAATTAAGCCTAAAATAATGTTTTCAATTACCCAACTGATTGAAATTCCCAACGAATTTAATATAAATGAAGATATGTATTTATCTGTGAAGCATGCGAAATTGCATAATCATTAAAATGGTAATTTAATGAGGCAGGCCGCCTTTTGCAGCAAACAAAAACAAGCGCCATGATAAATAAAACGAAAATCGAAATAAAAAGGATGATTTATACAATAATTAAAAATGCATTTTGTTCAACGTACGTACATATATACATACATAAATGGGTTCTTTATTTGTCGCATTTGGTTGGAACTTTAAAGAGTGACTACAGTTATTATTTAAACCTTTTTATTTGGTTTGGCTTTTTTTGAGCAGGTCCGAAAACCTGAATACCTTGATGGCCTCCTCTCCAGATCCCTGATCCCCTTTTAGCTGTCCAGTTTTTTTTTGGTTGCCCTTAATGGAAACAAGAGGGAACGTTATAGTCGGATGCCCCGACTATCAGATACCCGTTACTCAGGTAAAGGGAGTGCGAGGGAGATGGAGATAGAGATAGAAAACGTTGATCACGCATAACTTTTTAACGAATGGTCCGATTTGAAAAATTTCTTCTACATTTCGATAGGTATTGATAAACACAATAAAACTGCATTTTTACTTTTCCAAAATATTAAAATTTTTAAAATCGTATATAAGCGATGGTGGGCGTTAGAGGGGGCGTGGCACCATTTTGAAACAAACTTGCGCTGCGTAGGAATTCCTAGAATCTGCATGCAAAATGCCAATCTTCTAGCTTCTATAGTTTCCGAGATCTCAGCGTTCATACGGACAGACGGACAGACAGACAGACAGACAGACAGACGGACAGACGGACAGACGGACATGGCTAGATCGACTCGGCTAGTGATCCTGATCAAGAATATATATACTTTATGGGGTCGGAAACGCTTCCTTCTACCTGTTACATACTTTTGCACGAATACAATATACCCTTTTACTCTACGAGTAACGGGTATAAAAATGTTGAGCGGTCTTTTTTTGTGTTACTCCTTTTTTTATATTTTCCCTTTTCTATACCCTTGCAGTTGGCGATATAAGTTCATATAAAAGTTTGTAACATTGTTAACTTGGAGCTTTATAGAAAAAATATTACTTAGATTAAGGGATGACAGAAAACAGCGATAAATCGATATTTTAATATGGTCCGATATATTTTTAAACCATCCAAAAACGGTTGAACGTAAGAACCATATCGAACTTATGTTGGAAAAGATTTCTGTGACACCAAAAATATTTCAAATTTGGATGTATCGAACTTTACGATATTTTCGATACGTACTGAGCGCGATATTGAAAAACGAAATGATCGGTTCTACTAAAGGGAATTGTTAGTCTGTAAGGGTATCCTAAATTCCAAACCCAAATACAATTTAATTCTCGGTTTTGATTGTTTTTGTGTCTGTTTACGTTGCGTGAGGAGGGGCTCAGAGGAAGGAGTTGGCAGAATGGAATGGAAGAGGGTGTAGAAAAGGGAGCCGACGTCCTGCCATAAAATTGCATGTCCAAGTTGTTTTATTTGATTATGCGAGAGTGTGTGTGTGTGTGCGGATTTTTGCAGTTTGTGTTCTTTTTTCGCCAGAGTTTATAGCGCGGAATGCTATTTAATAAATTCCATTTTCGACTTCCCCTCCCGCTTGGCTGTCATATTGCCATGTTTTTGTTTCTGCATCTCGGCCAGGATTTATCTGTCCATTCAGACTCTGCGTTTGTTAGTGTGTTTCCGCTTTCCATCTTGTTTGGCCAATGCAAATTTTAAAATTCAATTTCGCTCGTAACTTCAATTGCGTCAAAGGCCAGCCAAAAGTTGGGGAAATATGAATTATGAACATCCGTTGAAATATGCACAACATCCTTTTTGGCCCCGCTGCGTTTTCATATTTCATTCCTAGATTTATTATTAAATTCCTTTCCTATTTTTACCATCTCCTCCAAATGCTGTTTACTTCCCGCGGCGTTTAGTTTTCTTTCGAGAAAACTGGCACAGAAATAAAAGAATAGATAAAAAGCGACGAACAATAAAGACGGCAAAACTTAAGCACCTTAACTCACTTTTGCAACTTCTACAGCAAGAACTCGAAAAAAGAGAACTGAACATATAATCGAGAAGAGAGCGAAAGAAAAGAATTTCCAACTACGCTAAAAACTTTTCCGAACAACGCAACTTTTTCCTTTTTATATATTTTTTTGGCCTGAAAACTTGTTCAATGCTCCTGCACTCGTTTTGTTATTGTTATTGTATGAAACTTCCGCTGCAGCTATAACTATAACTATAGAAAAAAAAAACAAAGCCAAGAACATCGACGATAAACGCGAGTTCAATGGTTAAAGCTTAGCTTTTCCTTTTTTGGGGAAAAAGAAAACTTTAAACATTGGTTCGCTGGGTTTTCTATTTCACTTGTTCGGGTTATGCCACGCCCTCAAAAACAAAAACAAGGACATGAGAGCCATAAAAATGTTCCTGTGAGCTACTGGGAAGAAAAAAAACAAAAACTTTTGGAAACAACTGCAAGCGGTGGTGGAAAGGGGCAGGTGGGCGGCAACAAAAGCAACAATGTTTAAGTGCGGGCACAGGCAAAAACTCTGGAAAGTGTACACACAGTTGTGGTCAGGATTGTAGCGCCTTTAAAAATATATAAACTATTTTCGAAAATATATTTTACTTGTATATAGAAAATTTGGTTTAGAGAAAGAAATCGTTGTTAAAGGTCGAAGTCGATCTTGTCTAACTCGAAGTTTATTTGGCTAAACTAGTTTTATTAATTTTATATCTGAAATTTTTTTCGGTAATAGGTTTGAGTTCGACTGCAGTTCAAAAAACCGTATTTCCAAAAACAATCCATGAATTAAAATTTTTTAATGCAATTAAACTAAATTGTAATTTTATTTTGACTGCAACTGTAAATTGAACTGAAGCAAAAAAATTACTGCAAACAACTCTTAAAAGCTGGGCCAGAAAATAAGGGGAAAATACAAAATATGAGCGCTTGAAACTACATTTTCCCCCTGCAGCTGGCTGAAAGGCAAAAACAATGACTTGCTCCCGCTTTAAAAGCCACCAACTCAAAAGAAAAAATCAATAAAAATGCGCATAAATAAATTAAAAATAATTGCAATATGAAAAACTTCCTTTTTGCATGCCTTTATGTTTACATTATACAACTTTATTATGGCCACTGAAAATTACTGCTGGAAAATTGCTTACATTTTTATAAATAAATAATGAAACATTTAATTAGTCGAAGCAAATACCGTGATTGCATAATTTTGATTAAAAAATAATCCAGTTGCAAAATAGCGCACCATTGTTCAATTGTTGTTTTCTTGATGCTCATGATGAGAATCGCTAAACGAGGACAGCACAAAATTGTTTAGCGGATCGGCGAATGTGGACAGCAGCCTGATTTGAAACATATAGTATGTACTTGATAAAGCGAATTAGCACCATTCGGATCTGGTCCGTGCTATAAACAAATAACCGATATATTTAGCCAGGCGTCCGACCGGATTGATCTGGTACTCCGAAGTGCGAAAAAGTTTCGCACATCTGATTTCATACTCGTGGTGGGGCTTTCCTCTCCGCCGATTTTTCTTTTCCGTTTCGCTCGTTATCAGCCTTATATTCCGTTGATCTTTCGAGTGTCCGACTTGCGTCACACATTTGTCTGAAATTGTTATACATATTAATGAAAACAAATGTGAGTCGCACAAAAAACGAGAAGCGAATTAAATCAAATCAAATAAAACCACATCGACTCAGAGACAAGAAGCAACGTCCGACAAATCGTCGAATCACTTTAACATGCAAATCATTTTTCCTTTTTTCCATCTTCCATTTATTTATACATACTTCCCACATTGATGCCCGGAGAGCTCAAAGATCATGATCGCAGAGTGATGCGGGTTATCGCGGGACCCGTGCTGAAATAGGTTATCGCCATCGGCAATCGTTCGATTAACGATCATCGAATTTCTGATCAGGCTGGTCTGAGAATCATGGATTCTAATATTAAATAAGTTCGAGTTAGTAATTACATTCGCTAGAATTAGAGGTCAACTGGGGTTTTTACAAAGGTTTATATAGTTTTTGGAATTTTTAGATCGTGAGATAGTTTAGGATTCGATGTTTTTCTTTATAAAAGTAGTTACTATATGGAATTTAATTTTATAAAATTGAAAAGGCTATTTATTTGGAGAAGACTCACGCTCAGTTTTAAAGTGAAATTTAAGAATAACATTTGTTGACTATAATAAACTTACAAAATCTGATTTTTCTTTTCGTTTCTCCCCTTTGCAGCTGCAAATATTATGGAAAAGGCGAAGGCATATATCAAAAATGAACTTCGCGGTGGCAGCCAGCAATCCGAGCCAGCAACCACGCCCACACCGACCTCGCCGGCCTCGTTGCCCGGAACTCTCCCAGCGTCCAAGCAGCCCTTTCCGCCCGTGGAGCTGATGCCCTCACCCGGAGCAGCCGCCCATCGGAGCAGCCGGACACCTGGCGAGCAGTATCAGCACCTGGGTTATCAGCCGCATCCCGCACAGCATTACTATCCGGGAGGAAAGTCGACGGGCAGGGCCTCAGCACCACCCGATAATCATCATGTGCCCATGAACATTTGCTTTGTGTGCGGAGGACATGGTGGCTATGAGCCGCAACCTTTGAGGATTCGCCACAATGCGGAGCGTCCTGCTGAGTCATATTTCCCCTTTCTGGAGCGCCACGAGCCCCCCAATGGGGTGGCAGGAGTGTCAGCCGGCCAGGAGTATGTGTGGGCCTGTATGCTCTGCTTTCGTTCCCTCAACGAGCAATGGGATGCCTACGAGCGACAGAAGAAACCGCTGCTGCAGCGCATCTACCATATGAAGCGGGTGGATGGAAAGGGCTATATAGGTGCCGATGTGGCCACGCAAAGCGAGTATGCCGCCCAGGTTTTGGGCTTGAGTGCCGAGCATCTCACCCAGAATGGTCTGGTCGAAGGGCATGGAGATCCCTACGCCCTGGCACGGCACTACTCGCCGCAGCAGCAGCAGCAGTCACACCATCACCACCAACACAGTACCTCAAGGAATGCCTCACCCTCGCCAAATCCCAGTGGTGGGGATTTTTATCCCAGGAATTCGACGCCGTCGAGCAACCACAACAGATACCTGAGCAGGCCACAATCTCGGGATATGCCTGTGGCCTCGCCCAACTCCCGGCCGCCCAGCGAACCGCCGGCCACGAAATCCGCCGGCTATGCTCAGCAGAAGTTCAAGCTGAGCTCGGCACCGCCGCCGCCGCCTGGTTATCAGGGACAGGCGCAGTATCATCCCGCCCAGTATCAGCAGCTGCAGCAGCAGACGGCTGCCTATCATTTGCTGCAGCAGGTGAATCCTGCTTCTGGCGGAGCAGGAGCAGAGTCGGCCCACTACAAGGGTAGTCCGTACAGTGCGTTGCCCTCACCTGGACCCCCTGCACCGTCCACACTTGAAGATGACAATGCCACCGTGCTGGATTTACGAAACTCCTCCAGTTCCAGCGCCCCGCCGGCACCTCGTCTCGGCAGCAGCAGCAGTTCGTCGGTCTCGCAGCCAAGTCAACCGCAATCGGAAGTGGGAATCCTGGACCTATCCATGCCGGACAAGAACTCCATCACCGAGGTGTGCTACGTGTGCGGCGATGAGCAGCGCCGAGGCAGCCTCATAGAGCTGAGTACGGTGAAGCCAAGGGAGACCGGAAGACCGGGACAGTCGGTGCCGTATTTTCCCCTCTTCAACGAACAGCATCCGAGGCCAGCGCGCTCCCGACCAAAGGATCCCCGCGGCATGATCCAGGCCTGTCTGCCCTGCTACGAGGACCTCATGCATCAGTGGAATGCCCACCAGGTGAGTTTGCAATTCAGATTCAAAACATCAACCCCCTCATTGGCATACATGCATATGGAGCAGATCCATCCGGTGTCGCCAGCGTATTCCCAATTGATATTTCGCCCCAAAATGCGGTCGAGGTGAAAACGGGGTTTGAAATTGATTTGAGGGACCTTTTTAGGTATGATTGGTATTTGTACCAAAAACTGAAAATATCTTAAATGTGGGAACTATTATCTAAACCCATTTTACTGCTCTTATTTTTTAGAAAAAAATTCTACAAATTTTAAGGCAACTTATTGCATAGAAAGGACTCAATTAAGGATCTTTTTCCTAAAATATAAGAGCAAATACATGTTTTAGATACAATTCCCAAATTATATTTCAGTTGATTTAGTGTAATTTTTATTTTAAAAATTATCCAATCAACTCTTTACTTTCAAATGTTATTTATAATTTACAAAAAAAAAAAATTCCTGTAAAATCGGGAAATTGTAATATTTATATTCGCAAAGAAACGCAGGAGGTTTCCCCATTAAGTTGACCCCTTTAAATGCATACGTTTCCACATAAAATGTATGAATATGCAAATAGAAATGTTTATGGATGCTGGCGAATACATGCCAGACCTTTTCAAAATATTTTGTGAAAATTTCAATATTGCTCACCCCTGCATAAATAATGGAATTCAATAAAAATGGTAGGGTGGAAAGGGAGAGTACCACGCTGGTTTCAAAAAGAAGAGGAAGTGCAAAATGGAAAACGGCAAAAACAAACATTGCCAGCAGAATAAAAAATAAAATAAAAGAGGAGAAACAAATTTACGAGAGCAGAGTTTTTCGCGTCGCACGAATCAAAATAAACAAAAATATGGTCGCAGCGCCCAATGCGGATGATGATGACCATAACGATGAGGCTGGGCCATGATCATGATGATGTTGGCGCCAGGGAGATTGACCCAGGAGCAAAGCTCTCCACTGTGCGAACGATTAATCAGTGGGGTCGCAGTCGTCGTCGTCGCCATCGCCAGCCTCTACACATAAATACATATTTATACCCTATAGTATATTCCCCTTGTCCCGCCTTTCAGAGGGCATTATCATCATCCTCGAACAATCCTCCACCAACAACACCACTGTGTGGATCAAGGAGGAGGGGTCACACGGGAGGAGACCTCGTAAAGGCGGCGAATGCTGTGGGAATTTTGACCGCAGGGTCGCTTGTGTTTCTGATTAAATTTTAATAGCTTTCCGCGATTATTTCGCTTCTTTCGTTTTGTTTTGCATTTCGCTTTTTTTCCTTTTTTTTTTTTTGTCTTTCGATTTTATTTTTGAATGCGAAAATGTATTTATAAATTTGAGACATCGCCCTGGTTTTACTCATTGATAGTGTTTGTTGGAGGAGCGTGTTTTGGGGGGGCATGAAAATTGGGTTCAGTCTGCTTAGTATTGCTTGTTGAATGATTCACGATTTAAGTCGATTATATGAATGTTCACTTAGTTTCAAATCGTTTTAATAATTAATAAAGTAAACTCGATAGGTAAATAAAGCTCTTTGTTATATTTCTTACCACATTTTTAAGCCCATTAAATCAGGACTCTGCTTTCAGATACCCATTACTCAGCTACAGGCTCATATAATTTTACCAATTCAATTGCATCTAAGCTTTTCCGAAATCTTGAAAGATGTGGATGGTGACCTTTGAGAAAATTAGTAATTAATTGGTTTAAGATCTTAACAAAAAATTACAAATAACTTAATTTTGTATAATTTTGGGGCCAACGCTTTTTAAAAAACCCCCATTAGCCTCCCACTCTTTCGCACGCAACAAAGCCCACAAATGGAAATTAATTTGTAGAGTTTCAGCACCCACAATCAACCATCGCCACCCACCGCAACCGCCCGCCCTCGGCACGAAACCAAAACAATTTGAATTTTAAATTCAGAGCAGAAATTTCCAACATGCTATAAAAATGCAAAATTCACAGCTGCACACTGGGCCAGAAAGTTAATTTTTTGGCCAAAAATCTGTAATTTCTTTCCTAGGACAGTTAGAAGGATGCAGTTTTTTGCGTTTTTTTCTTAAAAGATTGAACTTGCCAACGAACTACAAGTAAAATTTCTTGGAATTTTATATTATATAGATAATCCAGACCAAAGTCGGAAAATTTTACGTACTTTTCGGTTTTTTATTTTTAAAAAAATAACTAGAAGACGCACTTCTTTCATTTTCGAAAACAATAAAGTATGAGATAAAACAAACTAAAAAAAATTAACATCACTAAAAAATATTATGTCATTTAAGATTTATGAACCGTTAAAAAGTGCAACTTTCGGAGGCTCCCACATCAACGTTTATCAAACAATCGATTTAAAAAAAATTTCTATTTTTTTGTTCTTGTTACCTTTTAAGTTTTATATAATCAAATTATGTAAAAAAAATTGTTTAAAAATATTGTTTTTTGATTTGTTTAATGTTAATTTGACATATTCTGAAGTCATCACAAAAGTATGCTACATTTTTATTTGCATAGTCCTGATTAAATAGATAGATATAGGTTTGGAAAATACCATGATCGATTAGTGTACTTAAAAAGTAGATTTAAGATGTTAGTCACACTAAAATCACGCCAAATGTCCACTAAAACCTGAAGAAAAAAGTACGGCATACTTTTGGGCTCTCTAGCAAAGCTCTTCAAAATAGCTCGACTTTGAGTTAAGCCTTCAATTAAAACTAAAATTACCGGCAACTAAGGCAAAACCGCATCGAGTCGGTGGGCTACGCTTTTAGTAAATTGATCAACGAATTTTTTTTGAAGGAATGAACTAATTTGGGGATGGCACTCGAAGGCACTCGAAAAGCAAAGTACTCATTTGCTAAAAAAAAGCGTAAAAATTAACAATTACATTTATTTTAGCAAACAAGTAAGACATACGAGCTATATTATATTTTTTACTTGTTGAAAATAATCCCTTCTGCAAGTTTCGGAAAGAAGTCGAACAGCAACATCAGCATCTTTGACTTCTAAATTTTTTTTCATTTCCATCAATATTTTATGAATTTTTCACTTTGAAAATATGGTTAAAGAAAACTACTTGCCCGAATTCTTTGAAACTTTGGCATAAATTAGTTTAATGTATTATAAAAAGGATCGCAAACTCAATTTGTTCATTTTCTTAAAAAAGAAAAACGTATTTTTGGCCAAAAATCTGATCGGCTGGCCCAGTGTGAGCTGGTGAGACGCTGCCGGCGTCGCTGCCCCAGCAGTCGCCTCCCGAAACTCGGGAATGCAATGTGTAAAATGCCGGATAAATAATTAAATGCCATTAATTGGAATTGTGTAAATTTCGCAGGAAAAAGTAAAGTCCAAACAAAAATAGGCGGTGGAAAAAATGAATGCCCACGAAATAATAAATAAATAAATAAAGACAAATAAAATGGCAAATGCTGCAATGCAGTGTAGGGTGTGAGAGGTGTTCAGCAGCCTATTCAGGGAAATGCAGGATGAATAAATAATCAAACTGGGAAAATCATAGCGGCTGGGTTGGGGCGACGAGACAAATTAATTAAATTTAACCCAGTAAACCATGGAAATTCTCTGTTGGCCAGCTGCCAGAAAAGCAAACCAAACCGAGCCTACAGAAGACCAACCAGTGCGTTGCCCTCCCACCTCCCAATCACGCCCACCAATTTCCATTCAGCGCAAAAGTGCGAAAACCAATTTAAATATTTATGCTCAATTTTTATTTAAAGCAAACCGGGGGAAACCAAACAAAATCAAATAATGAAAAAAAGTTCGAAAATTTAAATCGATCCGTTGGTCTGGCTCGTTGCCAGAACCGAAATAAACGAAAGCCATAAACTATATCTAGATGTGTTATAAACAATTGTATTAACAAATAGTTTTTAGATACCCTCTAAAATCGGGGAAGGTGTAGCGCCAATTTGTATTCTCTTACTGTTAAATCATAGTCAAATATTTTCGTTATTACAAACTTCCGTCTTTTAACAAGATTTGTTTTACATCAAAAGAACTGGAATTCTTATGAATTATATTAAAATATTTCTATTGAAATCTATAAATGTGCAAATTAACTCAACTCGTTTTTTTGCTTTGTCTTAAAATATCCGAAATTATAAATCAAATTTATGCTTTCCTTGGTATTATAAAATTCTCTACACAAATCTTCAATTCCTATGAATGCCATTAAAAAATTTCAGAATCGTTCGTCTAAATTCCTGAAAAAAACAAAAGATTAATTGTTGTTTAAACATTTCATAAATTTATGAGCTTGTGAATGGATGGCAAAAAGTAGAACAAAACAGTAAAGGAGAACAGATTATGAGATTGACAACAATGACCTGCGGTATTCCCTTGGCTCCCAAGAATTTCCTGGCAGCCTGCCCAAAAGTCAATAAAAGAAACGCAAACACGACCCAGACACTAGAACCGGATAAAACTGGCTGCGAAATCAATTCCGACCGAAATACGTTGCCATCATAAAAAAGGAAATAAAATGCAGGAGAATAAATTAAGGAAATCATTTTTGGTGTGGGATAATTGGAAGAGTTATATTGAAAGATGCAAGTATTTTATGCCTTGAATTGATGATTAAATTCTTTTTTTTATATTTATTGATTATGATGTTACAATTTTGCGTGGGTTATTATGGTAAACTTAAAAAATATGTAACATTTTAGAGCTTATAAATTCAAAGGTATATAAAAGTATCTTATGAAAGCAAAGGGAAATTAATTAGGAATACAAGTTATAATATTTAAGGATTATTTGATAAATGAAGACACCATTTAAAGCTTATTGATTTTCCCCCACTATAATCTCCTCAGTATAGACTCTCCCTGGTGTAGAAACTGTCCCAGACAACAAACTGTTTGCTTTCGGGCAAGGGGATGAACTTCAAGCCATCTGCAATGTTAAGGCAATGCTCCACGCCACCAGGACGCAGTGGATCCCACTTTAACGGAGCGATAAGATCGCAATTGGGATTTCCAGTGGTGGCAAACGATGTCCACATGCCAACCAAACGCTCAATTGTCCGGTATTCCGCAGAATTCTTGTCCAATTTACTGGAGAGCAGTCCGTAGAACAAGTACGAGATGTCATCTGCATGGCACACACCCCTTACCTTTTTGCCGCACTTCAAGATCCGGTAGTGATTAAAGTGCGGCGAGTCCATATCGAATCGGTAGAGATACGTGGACGAGGCGGTCGCATAGGCCAGTCGGGCGAGCAGAGTGCGATGGATGTCGTGCCAGAAGTTCTTCACGCTCAGGATGTGCAAACACTCGTAGAGCTCCATGCTGGCCCTATCGGGATCATCGAAGTAGGACTTCTTCAACCGCCTCACCATCTCGGCCAGCTCATCCTTATCGATGGCCTCGCGAACCTGTTTGGGAATTATTGCCTCAAAGGCACTCAGCATATAAAGTGGATCGTCCAAGGTGGTGCGATACGAGAAGAGTCCTTCGAACGAGGTTCCCCCTATGATCAGTGGAATCTGATTGCCCCAGGCGCTGGACAACTGCTCCTGCTGCGACTTTGGGATAACGCAATCATCGCCAACATATGTTTCGATTACGGGGGCAAAGGCCAAGATCTCGTAATCGCGCTGCTCCTCCTGCGTCACAATCGCATTGCAGTAGAGCGCCAATTTGCTGGCCGGTATTTGGTGGAAGAACTCCAGCAGCTCCTTTTCACTCTCCAAGTTACCGGCATAGCCGAGTTCCTTGCCCAATCGTTGGGGCCATTTTCGATCCGGTTGCGTGGCCCAGGCACATAAAGCAGATCCTGATTGCACGATGGCCCGATGGAAAAGTCCCCGGGCCTGTTCGCTTTGCATGAGGATGTGAGTGGATGCTCCGCCGGCAGACTCACCGAACACGGTTATGTTCTCGGGATCACCATTGAAACTGGCTATGTTCTCCTTGATCCAACGCAGTGCCTGGATCTGATCCTTCAAACCCGCATTGCCGGGTATCTTGAGAGTCTTGTCCTTGAGACTCAGAAAGCCCAAGGCGCCCACGCGATAATTGATGGTGACCAGCAGGACGTCGTGCTTCATGAAGTAATCCGGTCCGTAGAGTTCTCGGGAGGCTCCGCCTATCTGAAAGCCGCCGCCGAATATCCAAACCATAACGGGCAGTGGTTTGGGCGACTCCAGCTTCTTGGCGTACACATTGAGGTACAGACAATCCTCGGAGCCCTCGGCCGTGTTGGTTATGGAGTTCCTCTGCATGGGCTTCTCCCTTGCATAGGTGCAGTCCCGGACTCCCTGCCACGAGGTCGGTGGTTGAGGGCCGCGAAAACGCAGCTCACCCACGGGCGGTTGGGCAAAGGGTATGCCCTCGAAGGAGTAGTAGATTTCGCCATCGTAGATGGTCCTACGCTGCTGACCCTTCAACTGGCCATACTTGGTGGTCAGTTCGTTCGTTTGATTCGTGCCCAGTTTGTACTGAACAACCTTATGGCCAATAATCCTGAAAAGGAGATGTAGAGAACATTATGACTCATCGTTGTTCTATTTCGCCTTGCGAACTTTGCACTCACTTGGCGCCCAATTTTAGCTTGTCAGCAAAGCTCACGCGCAAATCCATTTCTCTCTACTCTCAACTATTGTTCTTACTAAATATAAATATATATATAAATATAAAAAATATAATCTACTTTGGCCGCAATCTGCTTCTCTGACACTTCCAACGCGCTCGAACGCCAGCCAGAGACTGAAAATGGTTCTCGCTGCTCCAGTAGATGATAAAATTGTTTAGATAGTCGCCGCGGCCTCGAGTGGGGGGCCAATGGGGCGACCATAATAATTACCGCTGTTCGGACGGACTCACTTCGCTCACCACTCAGTGGGTCGTTCGAGTTGCTTCCATATGTGGATCAGTTGATAGTAGTGTCATACCATGTACCGAACCGCCTGGCAATCCCTAATTGAGCTATATTTTGGTACAAAAATTGATAAGATTCGAGTGGTCGATTGGGCTGGAAATCAAATATTTATGGTTAATACCAGCTACAGCTGCACAGAGATTAAAAAGTTCAGCTAACCAAAAAGGTTAATGCAAGTCGTCTATTATAGGGAGGATATTATAAGGCTAATAAAGAGATTTATATGGAGATAAAAATAAGATGAGCTCAAAGGGCAAGCTGAAATTAGAGATCATAATATCATGGTTTGAGATCTCGATCTTAAACTGAAACTTACTTAAAAGTAATACCAGGTTAGGGTTGTGTTTAACAAAATGTAGCAACACATATGGTGGCTCTATCTTTTATAGCCCATAAAAACTTTATGACTATGACTGGAACATTGGTGATGATCAATAACGCACTTTGGGTTGGGCTAGGACTGAAAATTAATTTTATTAATAGTTTTGGTAGATGTTTTTTGATGATTTTTCCCACTTGAACCAATTAGTTTATAGTTTTTAAAAGAAAATTTGTAACACAAATAATGCTATAAGCAATAGCATAATAATAGCGAATAAGTATTCGTCAGCCATCTGACAGATGCAAAGTATAGAATTTAATTACACAGAATGGGTGAAAGAGCAAAGGCAACGTGGCTGTCATTAATTAAGCATTACAATGCTCCTTAGAGTCGTTTTCCTCAGCTTGTTTGCAACTTGTGCCTTGGCAATTCACTCTTTGCCTTTGCTCCAAACAAAGATGACGATGGCGATGACTTAAGAGACCGAGTGGGTGGTTTTGTGAAAGGCCTCTGTGGGTGGCGGTTTCCTTGGTAACGAGCACAGTTCTGTAGAAGATTGTCCTGTGGCTTCGGTCGCTTTCCGTCTGTCTAGTCGCCTTGGTTTCTCCTCCCGTTTCTCGACGTTGTTTGTGCATTAGTTAATGTGATTATTTCACACTTCGTCTGCTTTGAACTAACATTTAATTTGGCCCCAACTCCGACCAACTGGCTTAGCATCGCCTCCTCCTTTCTCCAGTTTGTTTTCCTTCTCTTGTTTACTCTGTATCATTTGTTTGTTTGACCGCCAGTGTTTGTGCGAGTTAACTTTACTTTTGTTATCACTTTGACTGCGTTTAGGTTCTTGTCTCTCTGTTGCATCTTTCTTTGGCCTTAAAATAAACATGTATTTTAATCTAAACATTTTTAGTAATATCTTAAAGTTAAACAAAATATCTAAAAAAAATGTTCAATATTATAAGTTTAGTTAAATTTGATTTGTTAATTTATATAATCTTCTTTATTAATTTGACGTATAATATTTTTTGCAAAATCTTTTGTAAAACCTATTTTTTGTATAATTTAAAAACATCTTTGGTTAATTCGAGTTTTATTACCTCGTTAAGTTCATTTTAAAGCCTCGTCTAATGCCAATTTTTAAAGCCTTTGAGCATTTTGTCTCCGAATTAAATTTAATCTTTTATCACTCCACCCCTTCTTTAGTTCTTTGGTCCGTTCAATTCAATTTTGTTTGCTATTTCGCCTACATTGTTTCCGTTTTTCCTGTTGCCAGGTGGATTATTGGGTCTCTAAGTGTGTCTGAGTGCATCTCCCCCACATTCTGGCCCCCCAACTGTCCCTCAAAATACCCACATTGTGCAGATTCCGTGCTGTACTGTTGGTGTTGCCATCGACTAAATAAATAAACATTGCAATCTATGTTGGAGAGCGTTTGTTTGGCTGTGTTGCTGTTTTCTTATTTGCTCCGCTTTTCAGCTCGGCGCCATTGCAATTGCACACAGGCTACGCATTTGTCTATATCCATCTACAGTGAAAACCCTCTGTATTGAACTGACTTTATTTTTTTATTTATTTTAGATTTTAGATGCCCTACAACTTATTATATCACACTTTTAAGGCATGAGTTAAATGTTTGCAGAATAAGTTCTATAACTTTAGAAAACTTTTTAGGTCTTCTATGGCATTTACCATTCTGCCCCTCCGTATAGTCACAAAAGTTTTCCCTTTAAATGTTGCCTAACTTATTTTGACTGGAAAAAAAGGAGGATTTTCCAAGTTGAAGTTACAGAAGTTGGACTGTTTTCGTATATGTATGAACTCCATCCACGAGTTATTCGCTCTTGGCATGACGACCTCCAAGTGCCTGCGTCTGCTTTTCGCCCCTCCGCCACTTCGTCTCCTTCTTTCCCGGCATCTTCATCGCCTTTTTCTCTTTATAGTAGTGTTTACATGAAGTTGGCAGCGCCTACTTGCCAGAGGTGACGACCCCCGACCCATTGCCCCTCGCCTTGTCCCACTTCTCTTTTTGCTACTGTTTTTCCTCTTCATTTTTTTTTTTTTTCTTGTTTGTACTACTGTTTTTCCTCTCCATAGCGTTTTTTTTTCCAAACACTTTGCGTTCTTCTTGATTCTGCTGGTTTTTGCCTCTGACCATTTTTCAGGGTTGCCGTCATCCGAGGAATTTGAGGCAATAAAACTAAATTCAGAATACCGTTGTGTGGGGTCAATTTGGAATTCAATTCAATTAGAAAAGTATGTTTGCTAAAATCCAAAAACCAAAACAAAATCAATTAATTTTGTTTGTCAAGCCGAGAGCTAAATTGAGGCTTCCAATTTGCCTACACTCTTTTTAGAAGCTTTAAACTTGGTTCACATGAAAATATGTATACCGTCTGCTATTTTTAGAGTGTTTTATTATGATATCTATTATTAGTATAATTTTGGAATATTGCTTTAATTGATACATTTTTTTTATTCGGTTGTTTATGACATTGCAATTACAAATAAAGTAGAGAAAATATTTGCGTGCAAAATTGCTGGAAAATTAAAATTGGTTATTATTTGGCAATCGCATACTTTTGCAAAGAGCAATTAAATTTTAATTCTACCCGAAAATAATTTCATCATTCCATGTTCTGTATTAAATTTTCTTTGTTCGGTCTGAAAACATTTTTTTTAATACAAATTAAAAATTGATTCATGATACAGTCGCAAGGTCCTTGAGATCATTAAAATCATGTTTATCCGTAAAATCATAGCATACTTTGTGGCAACTAACTGTTGCACAGTTCGAAATAAACTCTATGGACTTCTGAAGAGTTCAATCCTTTTTATTAACTTGAATCGGATCTTAGGGAACCCATTAAATTTTAAAATTATTAAAGGACAAGCTTTGACCACATAGAAAAACTTTTTTTAACCCGATGCTTGTATAGAGTGCTTACCAAACTAGTTACTATAAGGAAAATGGTTGATTACAGAACTAAATGCTTCCGTAAAAGTAACTGATTACCGAACTACCTACTAAATGAAATCTGACTGATTACCAAACTAGTTCCTCTGGTAAAAATGACTGATTGAGCTTAGCTTTTTTGTCTCCCCATTCGCCGCTCCAATTGAATGCGAATGTGGTTCACTTCGTTTCGTCGCTCCATTTTGGCTTTTCGATTCGTGGTTGTGTGGGTGCGGGTGAGGGGTGCCATTGTACGAGTATGTGTGTGAGCTAGCTCCCCATCGAGCCGCAGTCGACGTCGCTGCGACTGCGTCGCTTGTTCTGTTTGTTTGCTTTTGTTTTAGCTGCCTTTGCCTTTTGCTTTTTGCCTTTTGCTTTGTTTTCCTTTGCGGGCACAAGAATAAAACGAATGAGCGAGCAACAACAACAACAACAGCAGCAGCAATGCGAATGGGTCGCAGGGCTCTCTATCAGCAAAGTCGACGCCTCCGTCGCAGCCACCGTCGCTGCCGGCGTCGACGTCGACGGCAAGCGCTCGATCCATCCGTTCTTGCCGCCGCGGTCGCACTTTTCAGTCGTCGTCGTCGGCCGTCGCTGGCATCATTATACCGTTCCATCGTCGCTCGATTTTCAATCTCAATTCGCAATTGTTTATTGCTCAAAAAGTGTATGTGTGTGTGTAATGGTGTGTTATCAACAAAAATGCCAAATCAAAATTGATAAATGCAAAATATTAAGTGTGACAACAACAACAGCAGTCCAAAGTGATTGTATTACTAATAATAAAAGCAAACAAAAGTTCAATGTCTGTGGTAGCCGGTAACGGTGGCAGTGCCCCAAAACAGGTTTTTAAAAAAATGAAATACAAAAAAATATAACCGCCAACTTAACGACGCGGCGTCTGTTAAAAAAAAAACCAAAAAAAATAAAGCAGACAAAATAAAAACAACGAGCAACGTTGTGCCCTTTTCCAGTTAGTTAATCGCCGGCTATCATCTTCAAGGGTTAAATTAAAGGTGTCAGTCGCTGGAGATGCGCGCGTGATTTTCCCCCAACGCATGACTCACACACTTTGGTTCAGTGTATTCGATAATCAAATTGCTAGGCGGCAGTTCATTGATTTCCATACGGGAAATTAATAAACCAAACCAACAGCCATCATCAATTGCAGCAATTAATTCAATTTAAAGCAGTTAAAGCTGTTCACTTGGAATACCGTTATAAGTGACGCGATTAATTAATGGAAAATTATACGAAGGAAACATGAATAGGTTTTAATGTGATACCAACAACAAGCGTAATTGATAATTTTATTTTGTAAAGGTTTATTAGTAATTTATAACCGACAAGTTCAGCATTTACATAATAAATGATGAAATAATCAACATAAACAAACAAATGATATAAAATACAATTTTTAGATCAAGTTTAATTTTAAGAGAAAAAAATTTTTTTTAGATGCAAAGTAGTATTGTGTTTAATAAATTTATTTCTCAATTAATTTTGCAATCTTCTAAAATGTATTACCAAATCTCTCGAAATCCCATCCCTAAAGCCAAGAGCGGGTCAAGTTTTTTTTGTTTGGTTTATTGTTCAGTGTATCTTAACCTGTCAGCGAGGTGGCAGAGCCATTAAGCCTGCCCCAGTGTGTGTGTGCGTATCTGTGTGCCATGAGTTGAAGTACAAGTACAAGTACACGACTTAAACAAGTGAAGCGGCGCAAGTCAAGAACAACAACTACCGTTTCACTTTGCGCGTTTTTAAACACGCGCATTTTTGCCGTTCTCCTCGCGTTTGTTTGCGTGTACCGTTCTAAAAATAAAGCAACCGTTTCATGTGCAATCTTCCCCTTCCTATTAAGTATACGTATTTCTTCTTTTTCCCCTTTTTTTCCGCTGGCGGATGGAAAAAGATTGTGGCTCGCCTGCTTCTTGTATTTGTTATCGGTTATTTAATGTGATTTATTTGCGTGCGAATGTTGATTTATATCGCCCGAAACCAGTAACAGTCAAAACTATAACAACAATATCAACAGCCATGGTTTATCACGCACATGGGCACTTAAGTGGGTCAGAAAATAATTGGCACGCCCCCTTTGGCACCCGCCCTCCCCCACCCCACTCACACACACGCTGCTTGTCCTTGTCCTCCCACATTGACCCACTTGGGTGGGCGTGGTTCGAGTTCGAGTTTGGGTTTCAGTTTTAGTTTTGCTTTTGTTTTCGGTTTGTTTTGGCCAAGGCCACCATTTTTACTCCCATTACCAATTAACAATTACCTCACAACTGACTTTGTTTACAGACAATTCCAATCAATTTTGAATTCGAGTTCGGAATTAAGGATCTAAACACGCTAGTGCTAACTTTTGTACCTTGAATATTTAGTAGGTGTTGTTTACAAGCTTTTATCATTACTAATTGAACTTGTCACTACTAAAAACTTAAATAAAAATTGATAATTTTGTAAAATTTTTATTTGATTTTAAATCTATTTGTTATTATTAATTTTATGGGATTTTTCTTCGTTTTGTTTTAATCTTCAATCTAGATTTATTTTTTAAAAACTAACCAAACTTGTAGATTACTTATGTTTGCAAGTTTTAGCTCCTCAAAGGTTTATGGTTTTTCAAATATTTAAATCAAAACTCAATCAAAAGTTGGTAAACTCTGGGGAAATCCCTCAACCTTTTTTATTTCTCTCCGCTTTGCATTTACTTTCACTTGAGTGCGAGAAGCTTATTATCCAACTTGTGCAAAACAGTTATTGCACCCCCACTGTCTGTTGTTATGGTTATCAACTGCCACGCCTTTCGCACGAGCTTCAATTGATTGCCTGTGGGGAGGCAAAAGGGGGCAGTGAATTGAGTGATGAGTGGGCGTTTCAGAGGTCCCAGTACCCGTATTCACGCGATTTTCATTCTCATCGTGTGGAGCAATTGTGGCTTGTGCCCGCCGGTAATCAGTTGCATTTTGGGAAAGCAACAGGTGAGGCTCCTCTTAGTGTACCGAGAAAAAAATAGTTTTTGACCCAGGGAGAAAGAAATCATTTCGGATTAAAAACTTTAGGAGATTTTACTTTTTCTATTAAAGTAGTCTAATAATATAGAGAACAGTTAAATAAAAACAAATTTGTAGAATAAACTTGTTTAAAAAATTAAAAAAAAACATATAGTTATAATATACATCTTAATAAAAGAAAGATAATCTTCTGTGCGGTTTAATGAACGCCAAAGCTGCAACTCCATTAGGCCTGGCATGTTGCATGTAATGCATAATTAGTTACCTCTTAATCGGCCGCGTCCCCTCGGCGGGCGATCGCGTGTGCTTGCGGAATTTCGCAGCACCCCCGGGAACGGATACGGATGCATCATTATCATTCTCATCATCGTGATCATTATCATTGCGAGCGTCATCCGTCGTCGCGTTCGCGTTTTATCCACGCCCAACTGCACACCGCAAGCATAAACAGAAGGAGAGCAAGAACGTTTATATCGGTTTCAATTAAATTTAATTTGTATCGTGTTGTAATTAAGGTGCCGCACACACACTCAGACGCCGAGAAATCTCTAATTAATCTGCCAGACCAAACACAACAAAACAACAACAACAACCACAACAACTGCCGACTGGCTAATAAGAAGTGATTCATTCAATCTCAATTGAAAACAATTGAGCAATTGAAATGCTGTGAAAAAATGATCTACATTTATGCAATAAAGAAAAAAATACAAAGTATTTGAGTGCTCAGTGAACAAGTGATTTCCCCCAGCCTCAAAATGGCTCAAAATCTGACCATGTTGGTGGGCGAAGGCAGCGCCGGCAATAATGGCTCAACTAACAGCAATGAAAACAACAATAGTTGCAACACACCGGTGAATTTCAAGCCAAAGGATACGAATGGCTGGAAGGATTACAAGAAATTGAAAACATATCTCATACTAAAGGATCAGCAAAGTGAAAAGGTAACATCGGCGAAGTTGCACAATCGATAGCAAAATACATGTGATCGATTTTATCGATAACAAAATTTGTGTAATTAAGATAGATGTAAGCAATCCCACTCGAAAGTCAGGTATATTTTTTAAAATACCGATTGTGACCTAAAAACATCGATAACAAATTTAAACAAATACAATCAATAGTTTTACTCATAATTCCAATTCCTTCTATCAACACAGATAGCAATGCCAAAGGCTCGTCATAAAAAGCGTTCTTCGAGGCATTAAATCCCCCAAGCAATCAATCAATATTGACCCAAATTATAGACCAAACAAACAATTAATAATAAAACCTAGAGATAAAAAAAAACGTAAGCTGACACGATTCGGAGTATTTTTTAATCCCTAGCAAAGGAAAAAGTCCATTAATTAGTAAAAGTTACTGCCTCTGAGCACACTACTTATTTATATCAACTTGAAAGCTGGCTAAAAAGTTGTGAACAACTTTTTCACATCAAACAAAAATTATTTCAACCGCAATCCCAGATTTCCTCCCACTTTGTTTTATAATTAACAGAACAAACGCTACAAAAGTTATGAAAGAAAAGAAAAAAGTTGCTCATAAAAAGTTATTAAACGGTCATGACCCCCATTTTCGAAATGCTTATCAGCAGCATGAAAAGCACAAGCAAACAAACGAGCAAACAAGAATGAGGTCTAAAAAAGTTTTTTTTTTCTATTTTTTTTTTGTTGGGTAGGTTTGGGAGGTCTTAGAAGCAGAGAGGGGGAAGTAAAGTCAACGAGCGAGCATGGAAAGCGAACATAAAAAATGAACAACAGAAAGAACACATTTATAGAAAAAAATATGACGAACTTGTTCTTCCATAAATCCGACTGTCAGACGTCGGCTTGTAAGTGGGCGTAAAAGGGGGCGGGACGGAGCCCGGAACAGAAGGAGGAGGGAGACGCCACCGGGCCATTGGATCAATAAATATAGATGACATGGCACTGTCCAGATTGATGTGATATGTGTGCGAGAGCCGCATGACAAAGCAAACAAACAAAATAGAAGCGGCAACAGAAACCGAAACAGAAACACTCGCACATAAATACTCCCCGTAGGTATGGATACTTTTGTATCTGAAAGTTGCCCGTTGTGCAATCAAAATGCGCGCCTATCAATGTCAGAAAATCTGACACAATGAAATACGGAAAGTAAACAAACAATTAAATTTACTTAGTGCCTAATAAAATAAATGAATGCTCTGCTCTCTGGCCACTGTTTTCTAATCTATGTGGACAGCTGCCCAGATACAAAGGCGATGAAGATTCATAGATACATAAATTCTGCCGGTCGAAAAAAAAAAGATTAGCAAGCATCGTCAAAAATGCATGAAAATATTCAAATAAAATGAGTGAATCCACTCGGTCGTATACGTAATATGTCGCTTTTCATTCTTGTTGACATGTTGTTATGGTTTTCTTTTTCGGGGCGGGTTCACAGTTGCGTGAGGGTGTTTCCACGTGCGTATATTAATTTGTATAAACACATATGACGTCTGGTTGCTGGTTCCCGTGGGTTTGGGTGTGGGTGTTTGACAGGTCGTATACGTAACGCACGTTTGATATGACAGCGGAGAAGCGGAAAATCGTTGTTCGCAGGTGCGACACACAGCGCCAAATGTGCTAATACGAATGAATTAATAAAGAACTTGATTCTTTAAATTTAAATATATTTTATATACGATCATTGATCTATAGCTAATCACTATTTAATGATAACTATACTACTTTTCGTAAAAGATCAGGGATATTAACTTTAGGATCAGTGATATTAACTTTAACTTTATTAAAACGATTATTCTTAATCTTTAAAGTGCAATCTTTAATCTTCAACTTCTAACACAAAAAATCGTAATCATTTTAAATACTTTATTTTACCTCTTTGTTATTAAACGCGCATTGCTGGTTGCATCATGAAATGTTTTATTCATGCGTGTCAATCTATCAATCAACACAAATGTAATTTATCAATGTCTTTTCTATGTCAGCATCTTGAACAATTAGAAACATCAAAGCCGACTTGCGAACTTTGAGTGTACAGAAACTAAAAAATAAATAATAAGCTTTGGCAATTATTGCCTCGCGTTAGGTGAAAAACTAATTGTATGATTTCTATTTTGGGTTTTGCACATTTAGTAGGATTGTTGATCTTTGTTTCATTGCATTTATTCACATGGCGTAAAGGTCGTTACTGCGAATACAACTTAACAGTTGTTTGCTAAAAATCTCAGCTTTGTTAATCGATTTTAAATAGAACCATATTTGTGTACTTCACACCTTTGGTGTGGATTCTTGCCTAATTCTGCTAAATGAATCTGCAAATTTCCGGATAGGGCTTTTTTGATTTGGCGTCAGCTAATGACTAATATATGATTTATATTTTTAAAGGCATCCCATAAACCGGAATCGGAGCGATCTTATCAGCTGCGAAAACGCTCGACGCCCGTGGCCGAAAGAACCACTTTCGTTTGCTACACCTGTGGAACGGACACGCCCTCGTCGCAACTTCGCCTTGTCTACTGCTGCCCAAATGCCGAAAGGGAACCCTACTATCCATTCATTAAGACAATGAAAGTCTACAAAAACGCTAGTCCAATTAGCCCTCAAGGTAAGTGCGTTAAGTACAAGTTGTGTCATCTCAACTAACGCAATTATCTCTTGGCTTTCAGGCATGGTTCAGGTCTGTTCCACCTGCAATGAGAAGCACACCGGCTTGGCGGAGGGTGGTCCACCTCCAGCTACCTCCAGCATTCACTCGGCAGCGGGTGGAGGTTCTCCCAGTGCTGGTCACTCCCTGGAATCCAACTCGGCCATGTATAGTGCTAGTGGAGCGATAGCAGGAAATAGTGGGGCCCAATTCGGAGGTCGTAATTCGCCATCCGAGAAATCCCTGGCCAATTCGGACTCCACGAGTAATGTGCGGTTTAGGGTAAGGAGTTCGTCGCCGAAAGCGGGAAGTTTGAAAAGGTCTTCTTGAGGAATTTCTATTTATTTATCTATCGGTTTTAGCAAAATGTAGGAATTAGGGTGTACAATCCTTTGGGTTTATGAGAGTATAGCAGAAAAGTAATAAAGATTAATCAAATGGGTTTCATTCTATAAAGAAAAGTTATTGAAATAGATTACAATGATATCTTTATAAATGTCATTGTCTCATGGACTTTTGACAAATTATGAAGGTTCAGCATTTAAAGTATACATCTGCTTCGAACTTGCACATATAAACGTAATTGTTGATATTTCCTAAAAAAAACTGGCTCCAACCAGAGCTTTTTTTAATTTTTTGGCCAAATGACAATTAATGGTACTGCCACAAACCCGATTCTATTGGTTATGATAGGAAATTCTTTTTCATAAACCAAATCTGGCCAGTTTGAGTGGAAGGAATCGGTTAGTTCATAGATGACGCAGTTGATTGAATCGATTGTCAATAACAATTTGTGAGGTATACTCGAATAAGACTCTCATTTGCCTGCATCATAAATAATCCATTATATATGTGAGTATACTCACAGGGTATCGGTTAAGTGCGCAAACATGGAAATTTACTAGAGAGTGCGCGGGAGATAATAGTTATGATGTGTACACATATGGGAAAAACAATGATTGCACTTATTACAGCAACTGGTGGGCGACTGAGAGGATCGGATCGGATCGGATGGGATCGCTTGGGTCAGTAGCAGTGGCACTCGAAGTAGCGATAACATTGCTCACATTTCCAGCGATTAGCGGCACTCACTTGCCCCCTCCTCGGGAAGCCGATAACCCAAATGAACCGGGCCCCATTAAAGTGCCAGGCGTCTGGGTGTGGGCCTACAGTCGGCAGATAGATGGCAGAGGATGGTTCACGACCTGAAATTGTTGAGTAATTCATTTGTAGTCAGAAGGCCGCTAAGGAAGTAGGGGGAATAGAAGCGTATCAACCTTGGAAGTGGGAGTTGCCTGAGCCCGCTAAAGCTAAGTCTAAAATAAATTCGATCGTCGTCAGCATGTTAGCCAATTTGAGTCAACAAATGTCGAGATTAGATAGCCGGAACCTCGGCAGCCCACGGCAACTCTGCATGTTCCTCCTCCCGGAGGAGAAGAGCAAATAAATATGGAGCAAGTGCGAGCAGTGGATGGAGAGGGACAGGGACCAAAATGAAATTATCGTATAAACAAGACAGCACATATGCGGGGGCAATAAAAAACTGGGTAAACTTGGTCGAGTCAGAGTCGGTTTTTTCTGTCAGTTTCAGGCATCTGCTTTGAACCGGTTTACTTGTCTGCTTTTTGCTTAATTCTACTTAAACGCTTTTTATTTATAGCCGGCTGTTGTTCTTCTTGTTGCTGCCGTAGCGCCTTAGTTTTGTTTATTTTGTTTTTAGTTTTGTTTTGGCATTCTGTTTTTTTTTTGTTCATTTCTAATTTGAAATCTTTGAGCGTTTCGCCCGAGACAATTGAAAGACTTGTCGTCGCCTCGCTCATAAATTATTACCATCTTCTTCAGTTTACTCTTTAAATTCGCATGCGCTTCTTATACTTGGATTTATGTTTATTTTATACATTCGTATATAGTGAATTCTTTTTTGTGTTTGTTGACTATTTGTATAGCTTAATTTGTCTTAAAGTGTTTTCTCTTTCTGTTTCTGGTTGATTTACTGTTTCGTTTTGCTGGTTTTAGTTTTGTTAGATGATTTCCTGTGTGGCCTTTAGTCTTTATTTATATTGGCCAAACAGCATTGTGTCAAAAACTTCTACGGTACAAATTATTCCAACATTTATTGTTGGGGGAATTCAAGCTTGTCCGCAGCCTTGACAGAGTTGATTGACTTGAATACAATTGAATATGGCACGAATTATTCTCCTGGTTTCTAAGCAGTTGCGAAATGATTCTTTTTTTTCAGTTGTTCTTAATGTTTGACATTTGTGTTGGCTTTGATTAAACAGAACTCATCTGTTTGCTAAGCGTGTGGGTCGAAAAAAGGCGAAATTCCAACAATAATTTATCTTTAAACAGGTGCCTAGCATTTGCTCTATTTTCTATATCTGTGGATATGAGTACACCATGCGTATATGTATATGCACTTAAAAGCTTGCGTTTATTCTGACTTTATTCAGGTCATTGCACAATCGAGCAGAGTTTTCGAAACTCGTTTTCTTACATAAAGAAACAGTAAACTGAGGCAGAAAATACGAATTAAATATAGATAAATGCAAATATTTATCAATACGCCGACGACAAAAGCAACAAAACAACAACAATAACTCAATATTTAAACAATTCTTTCCGAATTGTTTACATTTGCATTGTCTTATTTGTTGATTTCTGTTTTCATTTTCATGCCGCTCTGCAGTATTTGCATTGCGGTCTCAGGGCTTTGAATTGCAAATGTTTGGCATGGCAACACTTGATAGGAGTAGGATCCTTATCTGGCGACTATCCCCCAGATAGCACATTTTTAAAGGTTGTAAATGTATTAAGCAAACACCTGCAGTCGCACTGAGCCGAGTCATTCAACTCTCTGGAGTAGTAAATAATAATAATTGCTGATAAACACTGAAGGAGAAAAACCGTCTTTGATAATTTGCTAATAATTCCAATCAATTTTTCGGTATTCATAATATAAGATCCTACGATTGGATTGTTCCTTTGTTTGCACACCTACCCACAATTGATTCAAGTGTTCACAATGAGTTCATAATTTTCGAACAGAAAAGAATTCCCTGTTTGACTTGAATGACCCTTGAAAATCAAATTATATTCAAATAGAGACAATGTTGACATACATCATCTAAATAATGTCAAGTCATGATGGGGCAAAGCCAATAGCTAACATTCAGCTGAATTCAACTTTGAACCGCAGCCATGATTGATATCAGCTGTCGTAACCCTTAAACCATCTAATTAGTCCTATACGGACCGCGATAAGGAGCTTATGGTTTTGGAGAGGTATTCGCTCTCGCCCTCGAAATATAAGTCGCAAAACGAAGGGAGATAAGTGAACCGCACATGGTTCGAACCGGATCGAATCGGTTTCGCGGCAAAAGCCGAAAGCAAACCCAGTCGAACGCCAGTCATAGTCGAGTGGCTACTCCTTGAATAGCAAATCAATTGTATAAAATATTTAATAAAATTTGGTGTGGTTTTTTTCCCCCCTATTTGCTTGCTGATTAGATAGATTCGAAGTTAGACTTTGGGGATCGTCAAAACAGTTGGCATTCGGTGGGGACGGCGTGTGCGTGATATTCCTACAACTAAACTAACAAATACACAAATAGCTTATACAATCTGAATGTTTTCATTTTCATTTTTTTATTCCACTCTTGATAGCCCTACGAGACGAACTCGAACAATTCCAACTCAAACACGGCACGCGACCTCAAGCAGATTCGTCGCAGCGACTCGCGTCCCAATTCGCCGAGTTCCAGCCAAGGAGCCATCGAGAATGGGCATGGACAGTATCCGTAAGTGAATTATCCGGTTGCCATTCTTTCAGCACCTGTATCTAATGTTCCAACCTTCCATCTCTTGCAGTTGCTCCATTTGCAAAGTGCTGTGCCCGTCAAACAAAATGGATTGGCTGTCCACCAGTGCCGAGCACATGAACTCCCATGCCATGCACTTTCCCTGTCTCAAGGCCAATGCCGTAACCAGCAATAATAATAATAGTAATACCAATAATAACAACAACAATAACATCAACAACAACAACGAACTAAACAGCAATCGCGTGCTGGCCTGCAAGGACTGCAAGGATTACTTGGCCAGCCAGTGGGAGTCGATGGATGCGGATCGAGTTCCCCTTGAGCACAGAAGGTTCTCCATTTGAATTCTATGAATAACTATGAATGTGCCCCCACTCACGGTTGTTATCCATTCACCTTGCAGATACAACATTCCCTCGCCCATGCTGACCGCCAGCTCACCAAACGGATCTCGGCACGGCGCCATGAGCATCAACACTCCGCCCTCCACGCCATCCATTTCATCATCGACGCCTGCCAGCACATCCATCTATTGCTATCTCTGCGGCCTGCACTCGGACTTGACGTTAGCCAGGGTTCTCTATGCCAGTAAAGAGGTAGAGTCATCGAAGGGGCAATTAGAGATAGTAATTAGTTTAGACGGTTGTTTAAAGAGTAATGCACCTGGCATTGTGCTATCAGGATTATTTATTGGCGGAAACAGAAAAGTGGACTATATTTGTAGGGCATTGATAAATGTAAAGTTGTTTTGTAAAAATGTGTATTTTAAATACTAGAGCAGCTTAACACTATTAATTGCCATCAAATTAAACTTATGAAGAACAAATTGGCCTAACAATAATGTATTTATTCACTTAAGTCTAAAGTCTAAAAATCTTTAAATCTTTAAAGCCAATTTCTTAAATACTATGGCTTAAATAACTAATTTAATGAAATGCAATTTAATCTTTTATAAGTCAGTTAGACTTTTGTAGGATGTTAATTTGCTTTTTGGGCCAACTTGCAAGACCTTCACTTAATTTGCGACACATTGTATATATGCATTCGTGTGTGCATATCGCTTGCCAAACATGTAATTCGCTAATAAATCAAGCATTTCCAACCTTCCCAATAACGGCACAAGGGCAGTCAATCAATATAGATACCCAGGACTGAGTAAATACAAATGTTATACGATGTGTGTGCAGATTGTTTTAGATAGCACTCGCATTGTATTTAACTCGGTGTAGATATCAAATAATATTATCTTTGCCCTTTTGAGCATAGTTATGAAATTAACCTGTTTGGTTAAGTAATTATATACGTTTTGGCATATTCAGATATCAATCAGAAAAGTGGAAAATTAACCGACAGGTTCTTTTTATATTTTGAAGTTTTCAGATTCTTATTATATAATCTGAAGTTATCTTTCGCTTCAGTTTAAATGTCGCATATCCATAGAAACAGCCGAAGAACCTTCAGAACTCACAATTGTAATTAAGTGTAGGACAATAAGGTCTAAACAGAAAAGATTTCTCTTTAACCAATTAAGTTAAATCTAACTTTATCATAAATGTAACTATAATTCCTTTGATTTTACTTATTCCTTCAGGGCTCGCGTCCGTATTTCCCACTGTTGCTCAAACACAACTCGTTACCTAATGCCGAGCAGCTAAGAAATAATTCGGCCTTGGTGTGCACCTTTTGTTACCATTCCATGTTGAATCAGTGGCGCAAGTAAGTCAACTATCTTTAATATTAGATGAACAGATATTCATTAATGGGTTTCCTTTTTCTGCAGGTATGAGGCGCAAAGTCCCAGCGTGAATCCAGTGGATCGCAAGTACAATTGGCACGATTACAACTGTCACCTGTGCGGAATTACAACATACCGGAAGAGAGTACGGGCGCTACCCGTCAACGAGTTTCCCTTTGTGAAGCACCAGAAGAGCGATGATGGTCTGCTGTTAGAGAACGGAGAATACGCGGTCGTCTGTCTGGACTGCTACGAGAGTTTGAGGTGAAAAGCTGAATATAATTCAGAGCGTCGGTTTTGACTTTCCATAATAAGTGCGGTTGTTGTGCCCCTATGAGAATCCGGAATGTAAAGACAGATAAAAATTGAACAATTGAGACTCACTGTGGCCAAAACAACATATATACCGAAAATGAGTATCTTCAAAGAATAGTTAATTTAATATTGATAGAATTCACATATTTAGAGATCATTCCGTTGATTTTATTAGATGCCACAAAGTAAACCAGAATAGAAGTCTTAGGGCCAGTTTCTCGAGTCCCTGTCAAAGTTAGCTCCCACATTGATGCTCGAGAAAGCCAAAATGCCTTAGCAGGGACTTTATCTGTTCGAGAAATGTTAGCCGGCACTCGAGAAACCGGCCCTTAAAAATTAGATCCTTAACATTCAATTAAAGTGGATAGAAAGAAATTTGTTTTTCTAACCTTTTCATTAAAACCTAAAATGTTTATCCATATTGTATAGAAATCTATCAATAATTATAGCTTAAATTGAGATAAATTAATGAAAATCAGTTATCTGATTTAAACTTCAAACTTATTAGACGAAGAATGTTTAAAACTTGTTGGAGAAATCAAGTGATTTCAGCTTATTCTTAATACCTGATGATATTTGATGTTTAATATAATGTAATTTCCCTTCATGCATGTTAGTTTTATTCCAAATAATTGAGGTTTATTCGTTTCGTTTTTGTTTCATGCCAATAGCAGGAAAAAGCAGTTTTGTTCGGATGAGTACTGGTTTGCATTACTGATAAAAAGTTGAATGCTTTTTGATAATTAACACCATCAGAAAGTTGTCGAAAACGTCACATCTGTGCGCATGAAAGTGAAAACCATCGCGTGCTTTGTAGAGGGTTAACTTACTAATTTATATGTTCCATTTATTTTATTTTTAGACAACAAGCCTCACAGCACGATCGCTTTGGGGTGCCCATTTCCAGGCGGGCCTACAACTGGGTGCCACAACCACCTCCGCCGGAGGATAGTCCCGAATCCGCAGTGGCCCGCTTGCCCTGTGGCGAGCGCTCCGATCGCATTGTGAGTATTAAATAGTACCTTCATTGGTTGGGCAATGAAATCTGACCCATGTCCATGTGCCATTCGTCGCCCCCAGCACATCAACAATGCCATGAGGCCCGTGCCAGGGAAGAAGACCACATCGCCGAAGCAGTACGACAAGTCAAAAGAAGGTAAGTGACTCCTCAGGCGTCGGGGGAAGCCGATCTGATTTTTCCCCGACTTCTGGTAATGCGAAACGCCGAGCCAGCGGCCAGGGGTTAGCGGGTTCAAGTGAAACCCAATTCGCGTCAATAAATTTCAATTGGTTTCACTTAACTTTGAGTGTTCGGCGTTGCCCGCTTTGCTTGGACAGTTCAATAATAGCCTTAGCTTGGCTCGTTTAGCCTCCTAAAGAAGAACATTGGTCACTGGCTTCGGTTTTGGGATTATTTTGCATTTTTACTTGAGAAGAGCTAAGCATTTGTTGGGAATCTGTTCCCTTTTAAACAATTGTCACAGTATTCGGCATATTTTAAGTGGGGTTAATGCTTTGTAGTCTTAAGGATTAAAAATCCTTGCACTTCCTAACACTTTTGAAAGCATTTACATTTAGTATTCCATTTTCTTTGACCCCACTGTCAAGGTTATTGATTTTGAATTGCAGAATTAAATTAATACAATTTATATGAAATTAGCTAACTTTAATATTTTCGAATTCTATTTAAAATTTAATTTTATGTCATTTAATCAAAAACATTTCTAGTAGTGCAAATAAAACTTTGTTGATATAAAATGAAGCCATTTTGGGATCAATTAAACATTTAGCATTCAAAAGAAAAAACAATTTTCAAGCATGTATGTACGTACACATTTGTCTTTTCCACAAATTTAATTTTTTCGGTATATATCATGTTTTGCCCCTGGCACTCAAGTGTCCTTAATCCCCAATGAATTCCCAGAACACACTCGGAAAAATCTCAGCAAAAGCTTCTCTAATTGCATTTCCCCAATACAACGAGTAGAGAGGAAAACTTCAACCTGAATAAGAAATCAACTGATTAAATGCTCAATAACAAGCTGAGACCACAAGGAGGTTTCCATGTACTAGCTGTTGTAATAAATATTGATTTTTTATGAATTGCAATGGGGCTGGTGGGGGTAGAAGAGAGTGCTTTCGCCCTCTTTCCTCGCTTATTTATGCAGCAGCAATGGCGTCGGTAAACTTCTTCAATAAAATGCCAAAAAGGAAACATCATAAAAATAAATAAACAGAGAAACCACAAGCATACAGACGTAGTCCTTGTGTGTGTGTGTGTCTGTGTGGTAGTGTGTATAACTTGGCACACGAATTTTTATGCAGCCCACCCACCAGAGCAACCCACCGAACGAACCACCCACTCAAAACCACCTACAAATGCCACTTCCGACAACAGCAATCCCCAAAACGAAAGAGAAGAACGAGGACGAGAACGACTACGAACGACCGACCGACCGACCGAGCAAGCACAAATAATAAAAGCAACAGCATAAAGTATTTCGAATTGAATTACTCCGTGTTATCCTGTCAACCATACGAAAACACTCAAGACCATTCAACATGCCACACGCTTCCTGTCCCGTCTACACCCACCGAAGTCGGGTTCCCCTGGGTATCCCGAAAAGCCCACCATTCCGCCATTCCTACCACCCACCGTTTAAGGAGTTGGCATCGATTTGCAAAAAGTATATTACCACCCGGAAAGAGGGGAGAACTCAACCACCCCCACACTCCCTGTGGTGCCAATAAAATGAAGTTATGCTTTGAGGTGGTTGGGGTAACTGAGGAGTGGAATGAGTAAACATAAAACCACTGAATTTACGCTTATTGCACCCGCAAACATTTTGTTTAACACAACAACAGGCGTCGTCATTGTGAGTCTCTCCCTCTCGCTCTCTCACTCACACTCACTCTATTGCCGTCTCTCTCTGCGCAGTGGGTTGTGTGGGTGTCATTTCCGGCCTCAATTTCAAAAGAAGCTCAAATTTCCACACAATTTTCCGGCTTCGCTCTTTGGCACTTTGGCTCGTCTCGTTTCGTTTCGTTTCGTTCGCTCTCGGAATGGTTATTTGCACCACCAAGTTGGGTTTTCCACCCAGTTCCCCCCCCCGTTTCCCAGTTTGACTGACAGCCGTTTCCTCGTTGCCACTTGTTCAGTCAGTCACTCAGCAAGGACCCAACCCCTCCTAACCACAATTCTGTTTTTGCCGCCTTTGGTTGTGCTTTTTACTTTAGCCACATCTTGTTGTTGCCCAAGTTGCCACCTTTGCCACAAAAATATTTCAAGCACTCGCCACCCCAAGCTAACCCCAACCCCCATCTCCACCCCCCTCTTCGTTTCCGTTTTGCGTAGAATAACAGTTACATTATCCTTTTTATTGCCACACTTTCCAGACACGAATGCCAGGACGAGACTGAAAGAAAAGTGTGAACGAGACAGCGAGAATGGGCAGGGGTGTAGTTCGTGGGAGGGGTTGGCACTGGGGGTTGGGGACTGAAAACCAGGCCCAGACACAGACATATTTGGCTTGTGGCAAGCTACGACCTAACCCCCGACACTTTCTTCTTCGCCTTTTCGGTTTATTGTGCTCGACCCCCCTTCGGCCCCTCCCCACGTTTTCCGAACCCCCCTTCGTAACTCTGAACTTCCAGGAAATTGTGGGCAAAAAATGTGCACTGCATTTATTTTTGCTGGAGCTCGGCTACCTCGAGTCGCAGTAAATTGTGGTAAACACGAAGCCAAGTGTTTGGAGAGTATTTACTCGGTTGTGGCCCACAGTGGTTGCACAGTGGGTCGTATCGTCATTTGCATAATTGGCAAACATGATTGCAGACAGAGGAGTTTCGTGCTGAAGAATGGGTAGTGCCGTGTGCATGATGTACATTCAAGGGGAATTATGCTAAATAAAATTGACTTCTAGCCAGAGATTATGGTGATTTTCTTTAACCGTGAATATTTAATATACAGTGTGTGATTTTCCTTTACGGATTATTGGAAAAAATATTTTTTTTTCTGAATCTTTGAAATTTATTGAATAATACAAGTTTTAAGAAATTGAAAATGTATAAAAAAGCCTTAAATTATACGTTTTTTTTAAATTTTATTTGTACAAATATTAAACAAAAATTTGTTTTAAAACAAATTATTTTATTTCTTTAAGAAAAATGGAGTTTACCAAGATTGCACTTAATATTTTAATGTGTAATTAAAGACAACCTTGCTTTTAAATGTAACAAATTTCTCCAATTGTTTTGCATGTTAAAATGGTTTATTGTCTTGCCATTTTCGACGGGATATTTTCCCTTCCGAGCAAAACTCTTTACATCTTAGTTGGAATCGCAGTCTTACAACTTCATCCCTTTGTAATCATCATCATCTGTTAGCAGCAGCTGATTTATCCCACATTCAGCCGGAGCCAAAAGATATGCATATGGTGGTGCTCGTGGCTGTCAGCACATAACCTCAACTCACTTAAAGGGGGATTCCCCTTCCCCATTCCCATCGGTTTCCCCCTTTTGCCATTTCTTCTCCATTTATGTGCACACATAAAGCGCTGATGTGGCATGAAAAAACATATAAATTCTGCCAATCGATGAAGATAAAATACATTTTGTAATACGTTAGCCCACCACCACCGATCGTCCCCCTTTTTTGTGGGGTTTGGGCGGACGTCTGAGGTCAACCGTTTGAGTGTGGGCGTCTTTTGGGAGTCAACGAAGTGTGCAACGTCAACTCGCACACACACAGGCGCACAAAAAGGCATTCCATGGGGGTGTAAGTGAAATTTCAAGTGGCGCTACCAAGGCAAACTTCAGCATTGACTCTTAGTGCGCCACCCCCACATATGCTCGTGGGTACAGTGAAACTTCCATAATTGCAACCACTTTTAAAACTTGGTTATTAAGACTTTTTTATGGAATAATGAATTCTATATCTATTCTCTTGGGTCTGAAGTTTTGAAGAACTTTTAATTTGGCATACCATTTGTAATAACCTTTTTTATTTAATACTAAAAAAGTTATGACAGCTAGATTTGTGCTGAAATCGAATTTATCAGAAGAAATTAAATGTTAATAACTGGATCGAAATTTGAATATTGCAGAAATAGCTGAGTTTTTGAAGTCCTTTTTGATTGCCAAAATAGGTGTCTAAAAGTATGCAACAATATATTTTGAACCCAATGCCAATTTGCAAGCTTACTAATTCATTGTCCAAATTTGAGTTGGGATGTTTGAATTAGGAGAACCTATTGTTCTTGAAGTTCCGACTGTAGAGTTCGGGCTAGAGAAGTTATCCTGTATACATATGTGCGCCAGGGTGTATGGAAACCCTTTAAAAGCTTGTTGTTGCCAGACACATAAACGTTTAGCCCATAAACCCTTGATGTATGGAACATAAACACCACACTTGCAAGTGCCACTCATTCGGTGGTTTCTGGGGACCGGGGTTCCGGGTCTGGGGGCTTCGGGGTATCGTGGGGCTTGTGGCCCCGGTGTCAGTGGTTAGTGGTGGTTGTTGCTTGCCAGCTAACTGCTAACTGAAATCCAATGTGTGTCCGGATACGGAGGTTTGGGTTTCGGGCTCTCGGTCCTGAATTCTCGGTCCGGCAACCGCAATGTCAATAAATATGTTACGCCTGACTCGTCCTTTTTTCCTTTCCATTCCTTTCCCGTCCAAGGGGGCTGTTGTTGGTTAGCAATTTGGTTAAACATATTTATTTGAGGGTAGTGGCCGGTAGTTCATTTCGTTTGGCACTCACTGTGTTTTTCTTTTGTTCGATTTCGGTCGGAACATCGAGTTAGCCGTAACAATTTCTGTATTTTCCTATTCAATTTGTAGTCATCGATTTATTTCCGACAATTTGCAGACGCAGTTCAGTAAAAATATTTTCATTTACGTCCATGGCATAAAAATGAAATGTATTTATTTGCACAAAGTTTCGCAAATTCAAATTGCATCTTGTGCTGCCGTATAAATTGTGAAGGATTTCTATTAGCCAGGCTTACGAGATTTTCGTTGGCTTGGAAAAAAGTTGTTGCCAAAAGATAATCTTATTGTTGCTCCCTTCAGCAGCTAATTCCTGTACTGAAACTTTTTGGATTCTCAACCTCAGCCTTCGGTACCTTTTTGTTGCAAAAATTGCAGTCCCAAAT